GCTAGTAAGAGTGGTAAAAGTAAGCAAACTTATAAAAAACTTGATGTTGCTTTTCTTGAAAAAGTTTTGACCAAATTTATTAGCCACTAAAGAGTTCAGTATGCAAGACATGTTGCAAAAGAAATGGAATGAAATTTTTTTATGAGCAACAAGAAGAAATTTGGCTGGAACTATTTCAAGAAGAAATCTCAAAACGAGGCTGCTTGGTTCAAGTGGTATATTGTTTAAGGGCCACTCCATCCCAAAAAATTTTCTGAGATTTTTGCATAAATTGGCAGACAGTCGAGAGTTGAAAGGTATCGTAAAGAAATTTTTTCGAAAATCTACACTCGTTTTCAAGATATAGACCCTCAAATTCGAAACTCACCGTAAAAATACGACCTAATTTGTTTCGAAAAAAGTACTCTGTGACGTGTGAAGGAACCATTGTTTCAACATTCGGTGCTATATTGTTATACGTTTCTATTGTATTGTTTCTGGCAGAAAGGAATTTTTTCCCTTTTGTGCCCCAGTCAGCCATGAATGATAGGCATGAATAAAATATTTGCGGATCCTTGTTCAGTATCGTTGATGCATTGCAACTGCAAAAGAAACAATAGATCTCCTTCTAATTGTCACCAAAGTTTTCTAAACCGTTTTTCACTAACTATTGAATTACCATAGAGCACTGACTCCAGGCAGATGGCTTGCCATGGCATTGGAAAATGCCGCAATGACCGTTGATAGGGATATTGTTAGTGCAAAAGAGTTCAGTAAAGGCATGTTTCATAACAGGGGTTGATGGTGGCAAGCCTAATGCTGACTCTACCCAAGTCAAGGAGAGCTCAGAAAAGAACTTTGCGCCCCAGATTTAAACTTAGATATATCCGTTTGCTATGAACAAGGCATTTTGGCCTACCAACAAGAACAGCGAAAAACTCAATGCTCATTTGCATCAGACAAAGTTGGCCTAGTAAGTTACAATTTCATTTTTTGTGGTGTATTTAATCTCAAAGCCCATTCATGATTTCAAAATTTTTAAAATCTTCTCAAGATGCATCAAATCTATCTGTACCTTTTATATATTCTTAAATATGTATTTGCACTTTTTAGGGCGAACAATTTTTTGGTGGCACAAAATTTGAAAATTGTCTTCAAAGAAATAACATTTTACAGCATACTTAAAGCTTTTTAGTCTGACCCTTTTAAAGCCCCGGCCAAACGACTCGATTTTTCACTCGACTTTTCACTCAACAAGAAATCGAATGAAAAATCGAGCGAAAGATCGAATCGTTTGGCCAAGGCTTAAAAGTACAAAACTTCAGAATAAAGATTGGAAAGAGCAAGAAATAAAATATATACCAGTTGTGGGTTGATATAAAGAGGGTCCATAAAATTAAGTAGCTATGAGTAACGGTCGACGAAACCCTTGACCCGGAACCAAAAGTACAAAAATCTAAACGTGAAATGAAAGATGGGTTGCCTTAAAGTTATGGTTGCCTTCGAATCGCAAACTAAGGACTTGTTTGCATGAAGTGGGCTAGCTCACTAAAGTGGGCCGGTTAACTCAAGTGAGGTCCGTGCTTTCTGTAAATTCCTTTGTTCGTTGTATCTGCGTTTACATGGAGAGTGGGCCAGCCCGCACAGGTGAGATCCGCGAGAAGGACAGGTGGGATCCGCGTCAGGTTGGATGAAAGTTATCCGTGTAAACGAAATCAGGTGGGGTAGCCCACTCACTGAAACTCATTGCGCTTGCGAAGAGGAAGTTGGCGCCAAACTAAACCAAATCATAATGTCGTATGAATCGGCAGCAACAGATCGGGCTCTAAAACTGTAGTAAAAGCGTACAGAAACCTAAGGAATTCAAACGTTTCCTCAATTGAAATGACACGAACCTGTCGATCGCATACTTATGATAGATCGAACACAAAATCAGAATTCCGTCAAATGAAGGGCCCTGAAGTACGAATCCGAGCATAACGTATAATTTAACGGTCAGAAATGGAATCCAATTGTTTTTCGCCATTGTTAAGGAAAGCTGATATTCAATACTGTGACGCCAAAAACTAAAAAAACCTCATTCACAATTTTCAAATTAGAGGCCATACCACCTAAGTGGGATAAATCGCGTCCTCATGTAAACTCATGCGAATACGGTCTCACCAGTGGAAACTAGCCCACTCAAGTGGGGTAGCCCACTCCATGTAAACAGGCCCTAAAAGGTATTTTACCCCAACAAGCCAAGACTTTGTCTACAGATGACTGGTTGAAAGCAACGTACCATACACTGATGAGGCCCTGTAAGGGGTATTTGAAATATAAAATAATTGAGATTGTCGGAATGAAAATATAAATATTTAGGTTTTTTAGTCTTGAAATATGAAATAACTTTGGTTCTCTGTATGAAATATTAAATAACAAAATAACTGAATACCTCTCTAAAATGTTGTGTGAGAATTATCTATTTGATAACAGCACTGACTCAAGTGGCTATTGATCTATAGAGCTGTTAAGATATCATATCACGCTTGGGTTTTTCTTTTGAATATTTCAACCTTTTTATGAGTTTAACGGCTTTTCATACTTCACGTTTAGGAAAATTGCCAACATCAAATAATATCATAAAAATGTTTTTATCTACATTGATTGTTCCACATACATACTATGAATTCTTTCTAAGACTACTTAACTACTGTTTTGTAAACCACAATATTGATTTGCTGATAGTAATATTAAAAAGGTTATAGTTAATTTTTCAATTTTTTTATTTGGGATTAACATGTTTCCCGCAAAGTTATTCTTATCTTGAAAATGTTATTACTGGTCATATCATTAAATTCAGTATGGTGCCAATAAACAATGCTAAAAGTGATTAAAATTTACGTTATTCGACGCAAAACAAAATAACTATCTTCGATCAAACTATAAGGAAATATTATCAAAAGCCATGAACACGCAACCGTAAAGACAAAAGAAATTTGGCACTCTTTTCTGGCCACCTTAGTTGAGAATGTTTGTGGTTCTTAGCTGAGCACGACCCTGTGTTCTTTCTAATCATAATGGCTGTTATTGGATATGTTGGCTATTGGGTATGGGAGCGTTCACATATTATGTAGTCAGAGATGGGGAGGGGGGATTTACACAGACGTTATGGCAATTACGCTTATTATGGCTATTTGTTAAAGTTTGTTAAAATAGTTGTTTAGGGAGAAGGGGATTTTTCAAATATTACCGTAATATGTGCATATTCATTGTGTTGTCTCTCTTGAATAATAGTCCTTTTTTCTTTGGGCCATCAACTATCCCTTGATAGTGAAAACCACTCTATGAATGATAGAGGACAATACTTCCTGTCCGTGACAAGCTATTATGTTTTGCAATTCATCTAATAACTGATAGGCATCCTGTTTTTTATACGTTAAAACCAGGAGCTTTGCACCAATAGAAATTATCACTAACTGAAGTCAAAAATCTTGACCATTTTTTAAAAAAATTTATACAGAAGTTGTTGAGGATCGATACCCTCATGAAAAAACTGGTTTCAAATTTACAACTAGCTATTAAAGGTTTTCCAATCTTTCTTCAAATTTTTGTCCCGGAAAGGAACTATGCCTTTTCCTAAGAATTTTTTCCCTTTTACCATTTCTACGCACAGTTTCTCATAGAGAGGAAGCCTATTAATCTGCAAAATCATCAATTTGCACAAAAAGGATGACAGCAAGATCTCTTAAAATTCATTTTTCAGGCACCGCGGAGCAGGGCGGCTGGGGGTGGTTTTAGCCCTCCCACTTTTTGCAAAAAATGCCAAATTTCAAGTATCAAACTACAAGAAAAGCCTCTTTCTATATGGTTTTAGCCCCCGCCCCCACTTTTTCTAGACCCCCCACTTTTCTCAACGCTCCGCGGTGCTTGTTTGTCCAAGATATGTTATCAGATATCTTTCAGACAAGTCTACGGTTAAATGTTAAATACCTGATCATAATTCCGCACGCTGATGAACTGGAATCATATCTTTTGTAAATGATATGTAACTGTAGCGCTGAGACAGTAGCATGGAGCAACATAGTCATTAGGCTAGCAGGTGATGTGGCACTGCTTTACATTTCTCAGTGATATGCTCCAAAACTTTCAAAAAAATTTATGTTACCGTTTGATGAGAACAAAGTCATATATTTCGTAAAATTTTTAAAGATTTAGAGATCGAGCTTAATTTAAAATAATCTCGTCTCCTAGGCCAGAGAAGCTGCTTTCTTTATAAAATCTTGTAAGGGAGTGTCTCGCTAACTGAAAACGGGCTTTGAGTTTTAGTCCAGCTTTCAAAATCTATCATTTGATATCGTCATTCGATACATGAAATTGAGGACAATACGTCACTTGATACCTACAAATTTGACCAGCCGTGTAGACGTTTCAAATACAGTCAATTTGACAGAGAGTCTTCCTCATGCCAATGCCAATTGTTCTTCTACTAGGATATTCTAAATAGGTTGTTTTCAATTGCAAGGAATTTTAAGAATGAAGAATGACAAAATTTTTCCGGGCCCGTTTTACAAGCCCCAAAGATAAGCAACTTCAACACCTATTGGCGCCCTTTTGCTTGCTTTTCCCGGTGGGTCAAAGGGTAGCCAGTCCGCCACTGATCACCACAGTTCCAAAGAGAATGAATTCCCTATTTCTGCGAAAGTACGGGGCCCTTTGGCTTTTTTCCGAACAAATTCTTTCTACATTTGCAATATTTGTAGCTGCAAAGATTGGTTTTGAAGACTCGGTCCATTTTGTATGTGAGTCGGTCCAACTTTTCTTGACACCTGAAGGCAGAATGGAACATTTGACAATTTCAAAATAATTTGCTTTGGCAATTTCGAAATATGAAATAATTGCAAGGTATCATCATGAAATATGAAATAACGTCATCCCCCCTTATAGGGCCTCATAACTTCCTAGTTTTGATTGCGCGAAAATCGCGATTAAGTCAAGACGGGTTTCATATCAACTAGACATCACTATAAATAGACATCTAGACATCTAGACATCCAGACTAGACATGTCAACTAGACATCATTATAAATAGATGTTGCATAGAGTAAGAGACACACATGGCACAAGAGATGTACGATACACAACCGTCAAAAATGAAGCAGGTATCACTTTCTTTCTTCATCGCATTTTCGTTGGTCAACAGTTTAACAGCTTTGAATTTGCAACGCTCGTTAACAGAGCTGCTTAAAGTTGGCAAGGAACTTGGTATTGATTTTTGCAAAGATTTAGGGTATCAAGATACCGGAAAAATAAACTTTTTGAAAGAAATTAACCAGACGAAAGTTGCCCAGGGTTATCTATTCAAGGCATTTGAAGCGTTAGACAGGACTAACTGCTCAAAACTAGTTCGACCACTGGCTTGTTCCTTGTTGGCTCCTCCATTGCTAGATAGGTTTGGCAGCATACCTCCGTGCAGATCGATGTGCCTTGCCGTTGAGAAATCGTGTGCAGCAGTTCTGAAGTTTGCTGCAAGTTTAGGAGCATTGGCTCAAGGTAAGGAAACAAATTAAGTTTTTTTATTTAAGTACAAGCTGTATCTATTGGGTGCCACTATTCGAAAGCCCGGCGGGTTCACTTCTATAAGAATCTATATACCATGTGAGTTCCAATAATGGATTTCTACCCCCTTATCTCTGACATAACTGGCATCGCAACACAGCCTTATCTCTGAAAATTTGGATATGTAACACCCCTTTTCTCTGACAGAAAAGAAATGTTGAATTAAATCAGCCTCATCAACCTTAGCAATAGATTGGATAAAAAGTAAAATGTAGCTTGCCTCAATAACTGACTCCAATAATTAGAAAAATATGATTATAAGAATTAAACAATGTTGATTTTGGTGCTGCAAAAAACCTATTATCAGTTTTGATGCTTATGTGCACCCAATGTGAAACTCATGCTGAGGACATGTAAAGGTCAAGTCCGAACTGTGTTATGGCATGCTAGGATAATGAAAAGAAGAACAAATCTGAGCCAAAGATCTTAATCAATGAAGGCTAGTGCTTAGAATACCAAAAAGTACAAACAATAGTAGCCTGTTAAAAAATCCATGTTTATCAACAAGTGAAGCTGAAAACCTGGCACAATTCAAGGTTGTGGAAGTTGTTATGCAGAGTTTCCCATACTCGTACACAAGATAGTACACTGTTTCTGCACAGTTGCCCACATATTTCTATTTGCTCTTGCATACACAAGAACTTGTGGAGACCTTCCATACGCTGCAGATTGAACTTTGCAGGTGCTACTTAACCTGACTCAATCTTAAACTTTCAAGTAAGCAACTTTCAAGTAGCTATTGTCTTCATTACATCCACTATAAAAGACAATCAACAACACTTCATCTCAGTTTAGCTTAAAGCTTACATGTCGACATTCTTTCAAAGTCATTTCCACCCTTTCAGTTTAAAATGTCATATTTGCATTCATTGTATTGTGTATTGTGTCTTTTACATCACTGAGATTTTGCTGTTAAAGCTTGAGCATCTTGGGCGATCGAATTTTAACATCTTGCAATCAAATTAAAATTCATCTAACACAAAATACGATTCAAAACCGAATGAAATTAATGGCATGCGCCAGCCATACTCTGCAGACTTGTACTCGCCCAAGTTTTATGTTGCAATATTTATTGGAAGTTGATATAGACAGTTGTTTTTTAAAACTATCTTTGTTCATTTTACTGGTTGTCTGTCTACTGCAACAAGCTGGAGCTATGACACTACACTATGTTGATTTCCTCATTTGCAACAAAAACTAGCAAGTTTTTTAACCCTAAGTCCTTAAGTCTTAATCTTTTAACCATGCATAAAATTTTTCTGCAAGCATAAATCCTTCCCTGACTTGGATGCTCTGTGGTTTTATATACTAAGGAGCAAAGTTATAAGGCATATTATAAATTCTTGTGTGTTTTAAAAGCAAAGGTGACAAACAAAAGTTATATCATGGCAACAGAACCCTATTTCAAATAATATTCTTGCAAGTAAAGTGTCTTTGAACCATCCAGGTAATCCCCTATAATGGCACTAAGGTATTTGAAACAATAAAAATGATGTTGAAAAATACAATATATCCTTTATGTAAGCATACCACATTATGGCTTTATCTTGCATGGTAAGAGTTCTGTAAAGACTTAATTGAATGAAATTTGACATTTGTTGGACTGGAACACACTAAAGTACTGCTTCGATGTACCCAAGATTTTTTGCATATTAACTCTACGTGACGCGTGATAAAAGGTTCTACCTCAGCGATCATTAGAACTTTCTAGAAGCTTCTAATTAGCTAACAATAGAGCAGCAAGCAATCTACTCTAACTACGCGTCCTAGACTAGCTACTTATTACGAAGGTCATTAGCTTACTTACAAAATCAGCAATTACGTAACTGTTGACTGCACGTTCCCAACACTCCCACTCAATCAACAGTTTCTTTTCAGGTTTTATTGCATTCCGAGCTTGCAGCGTAGGTACTCAGATTGACCTCTGTTCAATGATTTAGTAAGTAAGTCAGCCAGCATTTCTTTCGTGTTGCAATATTTTAGTAGCAGAGTCCCTTTTTCTACTTGTTCTCGAACAAAATGATACCTTATATCGATGTGTTCCGTCCGTTTATGTCCGACTGGATTTTTTGTCATCGACTGTATTTAGCTTTGCTGGCTTGAATTTTGTAGCAACTGCTAGCTAACGTCGAGAAAACTTGCGCTTAGGCCCTAAGGGCTAAACTGAGAGGAACACCATTTTTTGCAAAGCCTCTACAAGGAGTCGAGTTGAACAGTAAAGGGAGAAAATCAAGGCACTGGTTGTATGAAATGTGTAAGAAAGTTCTTATTGTTACACTGTGATAGCTCATACACAAATCAGTAAATTTTGATAGATATAAACACATTATATATTGATTTCTTTACAAATTAAAATATGGTTGTTGTTTAGTTGCTTACGAAGTTTTTTTATATGTAATGTTCTTTAGAGTTCTAATGAAGTCAATGGCCTTTTTCATACTCTTACTGGGAGTAAACTTTTCGGAAAAGTCAGGGTGAGTCAGTGATTACGTAATCATGAATAGGAGGGTTGATTTAGTGATAATGCATGATTATGTCAGGGAAGGGGGCTAAAAAAATATTGATTAGGTAATATGTGAGCGAGCCCTAAACTCAACACGTTACAAATTGGAATTTTTGGTATAAGACTTTCCTTTGAAATTTTAATTTAAGCACCATCATACTTCATGAAGAAAGCTGAAACAATTCATTCAAGAACAACTAATATTAGACATTGAAACAATTTCTCATAGCGAAATTTAGATCAGGTTTAGTGTGATTTAAGGGTGTCCAGCTTAGACTTACTTAGTATTCTGCTTATAGTATTGGTGTCATTTTTGCGTCGAGTTTACACTGAGCTACCACTTCCCTCTTCTTTCAGAGCATATGTTGATTTGTTGTTATACTTGAATTTAAATTAGAAGAGTAAGTCGAAGAACGTTCCGAAGACTGCCTATCGCTATGAAGCGGAAACAAGTCAAAATTGATGAGCTCATTCCACGCAGAATCTCAAAAATCTTTTGACCAGCTGTTGTTACCAGAAGTAAATCCTTCGAAACTCAATCTGCACCACCATCTCAAGTTGCACCACAATCCCAAGTTGTACCACCATCTGAAGCTTCACCGCCAACGGGAAATATCATTGCCACACAGGAGCCAAAAGAAAGAACAGCAGCTTTAATGTCAGGGATATTTCATGATAAAGGCATTGGATATCATTATAATCCTGTGTCTAACCTTACTGAAGATACTAGATATGATCTTCTGTGCAACTTTTGGAAGCCTGGGCAGAATTTCATCTTTAAAGCCAATGGGTCAAAGCGAAGGTTTCGCTATAAATGGTTGGACACTTTCAAATGGCTGGCATATTCAGCTGCTCTTGACGGGGCTTTCTGTATCAATTGCGTGTTGTTTGGTGGAGACAGCAATCATAATTCTTCCAAACTCAATTGTTTTTTTAAAGCACCATTAAGTGATTGGGCCAAGGCCACTGTCCACTGTAAGATTTAATGATCACTGTACTAGGTCCCAGTTTCATAAAATCGCAACCTTAAGAGCAACACAGTTTCGTGAATGCATGGAGAACAGGAGAGTATCCATAGACGTTATGATGCACTCACAAATTAGTGAACAAGTCAGGCTGAACAGGGAGAAACTGATTCCGATTGTTGAGGTTGTAATTTTATGTGGCCGTTAAAACATTTCCCTTAGAGGTCACAGAGACGATCTGGAGTATTTACAAGCTGCTTTAAATAACCCAGGCAATCTTCAAGCGATTCTTGCGTTCTTGAAGAAATGCGGTCAAAATGAAGTTTTTGATCAGCATTTTACTCTTCCACGAAGAAATGCCACATATCGATCAAAAACTACCCAGAATGAGCTGATAAACATTTGCGGTGAGATTATCGCAGAAACTTTGACGAAAGAAGTAAAGGAGGCAAAGTTCTTTTCGGTGTTAGCTGATGAAGCAGCAGACATTAGCAACACGGAGCAAATGGCCGTTGTTCTTCGCTTTATCGACAAACATGGAAGCATACGGGAGGATTTTTTTGGATTTGCTCCATGTAATGAAGGTCTTTTGGGTGAGGCTATTTCTTCAAAGATAAAAGAGACAATATCTAGCCTTGGATTCGATATGAATAATTGTCGAGGCCAAGGTATGATGGTGCTGGTAATATGGCAGGCAAATGTTCTGGCGCTGTGGCGAGGATTCAGCAATCGTTCCCACAAGCACTCTGTGTTCACTGTCGTTCACATTTGCTTAGCTTGTGCGTAGCCTCTGCATGTCAGATTCAAGAGGTGAAAAATATGATGTCACATGTACGAATCGTTTCGTAGTTTTCAATGCACACCCAAAGCGTGATAAACTCTTAAAGGAACAGGTACGATTGCTAATTCCCGAAAGTCGCCACCAACATTTAATTGACGTCTGCAGAACCAGATGGGTTTCTCGAATTGATGGTCTCGACATTTTGATTGAGCTTCTTCCTGCCATTGCTGCTGCCCTTGAGCAAATTAAAAACAACATCGACAGATCATGGAAAACACAGATTCTTCACGTGGCGCATGTGGACTCTTCTTCAGCACTGTCTCTTTTCAGTTTCTCGTAACATTGGTGATTGTTTCAAGAGCTTTTGAGGTCACAAGACCACTTACCAAGCAGTTGCAAGCCTCTGATATGGATGTAGGGAAATCTGTTTCTAAAATATCCCTTCTTGCTTCCATGGTAAACAATCTGCGTTGTGAAATCGACCAGTACCATGAATCATGGTACCAAGAAGCTGCTTCCCTGGCAGATGTAATAGGAACTATTCCCAGCAAGCCAAGAAATATTTCGAGACAAACTGGGCGGTCAAACTTTCCGGCCGATTCTCCATCTGAATACTTCCGACGATCCATATCAGTGCCTTTTATTGATCACCTCTCATCCGAGATTTCAATTCGCTTTTCAGAAAGGAATCTTGTCGTTCTTGATGCGTTCAATGGCCTTCCATGCCATGTTATCTCTGATTGGAACTGGAAAGAGAAGTTCAAGCCTTTCCTGCAACATGTAAAGGATGATCTTCCTGAAAGACGCTACCTCCAAACTGAGCTCGAGATGTGGGAGGAGCAATAGAAAGGATACCCTAGCGACGTGCCTGCTGACTTACACTCACTGCTTCCTCTCATCGACAAGGTCACGTTTCCAAATCTGTTTACTGCCTTTCAAATGTTGGCAACACTTCCAGTAACCTCTTGTAGCTGTGAGAGATCCATATCTGTGCTGCGTCGTCTAAAAACGTACTTAAGAAGCACTATGAGTCAAGATAGGCTGAATTCTCTGGCTTTGCTACACATACATAGAGAAATAGAAGTAGACAGTAGAGAAGTCGTCGATCGGTTTGCCAGGAGACATCCTCGAACAATGAAACTTGTAGATATTTTGAACTCAGGCCCAGAATGAATTTTTTACGTCTTTTTAAGCTAAAAGAAAACTAAACCTTAGTTAACTCTTTATTTAAGAGCAAACATAGAGTTAGTTGCGTGTTTCGGTTGAGAAGGAATTCCGTCAACTGAAAGTACAGTTTCAAGCAGTTATTTTAACAAAATTTTTATAACCTCTAAATTGCTACTAGCTCTATTTAAAAGTTTGTGCTAGTTAGAAATTTTATCTGAGATCCGCATGAAATTAAAGTCGTTTTCAGAGAATCTAAAGGGCATGGTCATAAAAATAAAATGCGTCTTATATCAAAGCATCAGTGGAAATGAATTTCCCAATGCAATGAAACAAGCAGATGTATCACCAGTATTTAAGAAAGAAATCCAAATGATAAAAGGAACTACAGGCCAGTAAGTGTTCTTCCTTCACTGTTTAAGATATATGAAAGAATAATGTATAATCAGATATTCTCATTCATTAAAAATGAAATTATGCCCTCTTTCATGTGGATTCCGAGAAAAATATGGTACACAACATGCATTTATACGTAAATATACATAAAACTTGAAAATTTATCTAGACGATAAGAAAAAAGCAGGTATAATAATGAAGACAAATGTAACTTAAACAGTATGATATTTGAACATAAACAAACCAGAACTGAAAAAGCAAATATTAAAATAGGAAAAGCCACAATCGAAGAGACGAAAAACGCCAAAGTACTTGGAATAACTTTAGCCAGCAAACTAAACTTTGAAGAACATATAAAAAACTTATGTAAAGAAGCAGGTAGAAAGATAAATGCCTTAGTCAGAATCGCCCTTATATGAATGAATATAAAAGATCACTTTTGATGAAAACCTTTATACTTAGTCGCTTTAACTATCGCCCTCTTTTGTGGATGTATTGTAGCCGCAAATCTGGAAAACTTATTGGAAGTATTCATTAAAGAGCACTGAGAGTGGCTTACAATGATTTTGAATCAAGTTTTGATAATATTCTCTCACACAAAATATTAAAGTCAGGATACATCAAAAGAACCTACAACTACCAGCAATAGAAATATACAAAACAGTAAATAACTTAAATCCAGTTTTTATGAAAGAGATATTTCAGTTGAATGAACTTGCATATAATTTACTAAATCAATCATTTATACAAAAAAAGCCGAACATTGTTACTTATGGGCTAGATACAATATCATTACCTGGAATTTAAAACTAGCCTGGGGCTTGACCAATGACTGTTGAATTCATTCAGCAACTAAGAGAAACTTTGAGGAGGGTCGTAAAGGTTGATTATACCAATTTTATCCGTCTTAAATAAACAGCACGATGCTTGTTGCTTTGTTCTGAAGAATGTTTTTCCAAAAATCAAGTTTGGCCATTGACTGTTGTATTTTCACGGCCACTTCCGGCCGTTAAGACTTTGGTTTTTGTTGTCAGTAAGTCGAGTTTTATCAAAATTACCTTTCAGACTTTTTGGCCTCTGGCTGTTGAAATCTTAGACGTCAGAGGCCGGGTAACGTTGGTGGTACTTCACGTAAATTTTATGCGCAGTTCTGCAAGGAGAAAATATCAACATTTTTCATTAATTGTCCTTCAGCTATCATTCCTTATCGGAGGCTCCCCTTTATTGAGGTCATTTTTAAAATACTTGAAGTAAACCAGACTAGAGTATTGGATAGTAAAAAAAAAAAAAGTTTTTAAATTCTAGTTCCTATCTATTCCATCATAAACAACTAAATTATATTCAAGTAGGCCTACCACTCAGAAATTTTAAACATGCTATGGTATGGTCCAATCAGAAGGATTGCTCTAAGATTGTTATCAGAATTGGAAATGAATTTGAAAAAACAGCTAGGGTGTTATCGCTTGCTTAAATGTGTAAGAGAGACGTACCTCCCATCATGCTCCGTACTGTTTATTCTGACTTATTAGGTTTGGTTTTGAAATTCTAGGTGGATGTAAAACAACTGTCGATGGAAGGGACTTCAGAGGCACTGTGAACAAGACAGTTGGAGGCCATACTTGCCAGCATTGGAATGTTCATAAGCCCCACTCTCATCGGCAGCTAACGGCAAAAACACATCCATGGGAAGGGTTGGAAGAGAACTATTGCAGAAATCCAGATGGGGAGCCAGATGGGCCGTGGTGCTACACAACATCAAAGTCGGTCAGATGGGACTACTGCGATGTCCCTACTTGTTTTAGTAAGTTGAGCATTTTTCCACAATCGCGGCGTCTCTCTAGCCTCAGGGGTCTGGAAATAGGCAGGTCTGTCGTTAAAGGGAGGCGTGTGGAATGTTACACCCCCCCCCTTGATAAAGAATTCTATTGCAAAAGCAAGGAGTTATTTGCCATCTAAGGGTGCTTAGTCGGCGAATTTCGGATGACTGATCCATGGGGACATAGAAACCCCCTTGAGCACAATATTTAGCGACAGGCTTTATAATCCAAATGATGTCATCTTGGACGAAGTTGTTGAAACGAGGCACTCTAAATCCCCGAGAAGCTTTTTTCATTTATTTTCACTTAATTCTCTTTACACACGATACCTATACAGCTACACAAAAAATAGTAAAAGCTTTTGACTGTTGTCGATATATAAAAGTGGATAATGTCATGTTTCAATTTTTGCTCATAATTTTCTTCTTAATGTTAGAATACACTTACTCCGATCATTTTGAATAAGGGACAAGCAGATGAGTCATATGGTTAAGGACCGCGACAAAGGCCAACAAAAATATGTAAAAATGTGATACCATGCCAAAACTCTGCTTTATTTTATTCCTTTTCTGAGGAAAATTTGTAAGGCCACTTTTAAACGAGGAAAAGTGGATCGGATCTATAGTGGATCGGATCTAAAGTGAATCGGTTCTTAGTGCATCCGGACCAGTAGATCCGGAAGTGGAGAAGCCAGATTTTTTGCTCTATGTCCTTAGCTGTATATTAAATCAAAGTCATGAAGCCAGAGACGCCGGAGAAGGCGGGGGCGGGGGGTCGACCGCCCCTTTTGCCTTTTGATAGGATTGCCTTTTGATAGGAGAGGCAAGAGGGGCCAGAGTTCCCTTTTTATTAAAGTACTCTTGATTAAAGTATTCTTGTAACAATCAGAGAGATTCACATGAAGTTCTAATTGCAGTGCTTAGTTCATGAAGACATCTCTCAAAACTTGTCCTGCAGAAGATCGAAATAAAATGGCAGTTAGTAGTAGAAGGAAATAGTAGAACTGGGAGTTATCTTTCAAAGGCCCTTTTACTCAAGCTTGACCCCCCTGCCCCTTGGTCGTCCCCGGCGTCCCTGCATGAAGCAAAGTTTTTGTAATTATTATCTTCCTTCTTTTAGCGAGCCTTTGGTGCAAGATGCTGCCGAATCCCAGCAAGACGAGTGGCTGCCTTAACTTCAAATTTGATCCAAAGCTTCATAAGTATACGGCTGTGGTTGAAGGAACTCCGAATGTATCTCAGGCAAAAAGTTGGAACCTGCCATTCAATTGAGGAGGAAATTGTTCATTGGACTTTATCTTTATAAACATGTTTTTACCTTCCTTCTTTTATTAAGTAATCACCTTATTGAAAACTTTTTTATCAACATTGTGGAAGTAGCATAGGCGCAGACTGAAAGGGTGGGGGGCTCTGGGGCTTGAGCCCATCCTGATGAAAATCTGGGGGCTAAGCCCTCTCTTGGAAATACATAAAATGGCTATGGATTTATTAGCCTTACTTATAATATTCTTGGTTTCACGCATAAAAATCACCTTAAGAGATTTAATCAAGATCAAACAATAGCGAACATGAAAAATACATAGAAGATCACCTTAAAACCCCCCCCAGCTAAGCCTCTTTCTACCCTCTGCCATAGGCAGCATTCATTAGCCCACCCCTTGGAAAAAATATAAGTCTGCGCCTATGGGACGTAGAAATGGTATAATCAAGGTATAATTGTTTTGATCAAGTTTGCAAAAGAAACTATAGAAAAACTCTTCTGTTTACGAAGCCGGGACAAGTCGGTCGGGACAAGTCGGTCGGGAAGTCGGCCGGGACAAGTCGGCCGGGACAAATAGGTCGTTCAAAAACAAAGAATCAATCAATCTCGACCTTGTTCTTCTCGTGTCTCCTTTGATTCGCATCTTGAAGTTTTTACTTACCCTTAGTCATTATTCAACATAATCTGAGAAGTGTCTTTTGAAAAGGGCTCTAGTATGTTAATTTTCTTTTTCCGTGCCATCTTCAAAGACAAATAGTATCAAGATCTTGAAAATGGCTTTGAAAAAAGCAAACGTTGCAGTAAACTAAAGCTTTTCGTCTGACACTCTTCAGAGTTTGGAGGATTGAATAAAACAACATGTCCTGTCTAGTATTAGAAACAAAACTCATCCCCAAAGAGAACAGCCACCTCGGTCTGGCAGATCTAAAAGTACAACTAAAACCTGCGATTCTGCTATCGGGCAGCATTTGCAAGAAAACTCAGATTGTGCAAAAAACTATAATGGCAACATGTTCCGGATTTTTGGTAAAGCCCGATCGACATAAGAACGAAAATACCGCTATTGTGTAAACAAAAGGAATTTGTTTCACCTTAGGACTCCATTGGAAACATTCTCTATAGGCAAGCGGCACTGATTGGTCAACCTCAACAGTCATGTGCTCTCGTTTCTGATTGGCCTATTCTGATCCACAACTGGGTATATATATTTCCTTCCGTAGAGTTTTCGATCTATGTTCTGACGTTTTAAACTTTGAAGAGTGTCAGACGAAAAGCTATAGATCTCTTCTGAACAGGCCTAATGTTTTAAAATCTTTATACCCAATTTTGGAACTAACCACCAATGGCTCCTCAGCTCCAACAGACCATGACGGCAGAAGGATAGAAAAGTGAAAGAATTAAACAAGTCTCAAGACTTATGTAATCGTGTTGTGTTATATAAAATGAAAAGGGCCCCACTGCCAACTGGATAATCGCGTAATGGTCTGAAAACAAGCATTTGTGTAGGCCAAGTCAGGGTTTAGGTTTATGAACTTCACATTTTGGCTGTGAATTTCACACATAGGTTGGTTCCAAATGTTTCGAGAAAACAGAAAAAAGAATTGTAAAAAATTTTCAGATTATACTTGGTTATTTACTATGTTATGGCAAAAATATACTAAAATTTTGCGCGTCATGCTGTCCATTAGCTATTTTCTGTCGAAATTCAAGAGATTTTGTTACAAAATGATAACTCACTGAAATAGAAATTTTATTCTTCGTTTCGGAAAGCCATCAAACGGCGCTACACACTGCCTTCTAAATTTTTTAGAAAAGCGAGTTTCTTGACTTGCTGCGCAACGTTCTATAGAAAATCTCTATAATAATGCCTAGAGACTTTTAAAATTGCCAATACCCGAAATTGGCCATCAAAAAAGCCAACACACCAAATGCTTAGTTACGTGTCTGATTATGAATTCTAACCACAAATGCAGAAAAATAGATATCCACAGGAAAATCACAGAAATTCCGCTCACGGCAATCAATCTTGGGTTATAGTACAACAATAGTAACATAAATCAAAAGTGTTTCTTTCCAAAGTTCGATAGAAATTATCCTTTTCTGATCTAACCGTATGACAGCCTCACGCTGGGCACCACTGTACACCAGATAATTTCTTTAACTTTTGACGTAGATGGTTCTAAAGAATTAGATAACGTTTACTTTAAGGTTTTTTCAAATTCTATCAATTATCATTCTTTCCGGTGCATTTCATGCAGCTGTTGTGTGAATGCCACAGAAATCTGAATGTTGACTGTTGTCACACAATCACAAACACACAACCGTTGCCCGATGATCGCATTAAGCGTGGAACTTGGAGTAGCAAGTTAAAATTGTTTTCCTTAGACACCAAAGGCATGTACAGCTTTGCCTATTTGGCATCAGGCACTTAATGACAGACCGGTAAACAGTAATTTTTCTTACACTCGAACATAGACGCCAATATGAATCGTTCATTAGTTGAAGCAGGTTTAAATGTTGGAGTGCCCCTCTACAGTACTATTGCACTTAAAAAGCAAAAAAAGCAACACCTACACTATGCGAGCAAAAGTATTGCAATGTTGGTGTGTGAATAAAGAAAAGGCCACGACAGCAGGCTGCTCGACGGATTCCGATGGAATTCTTGCGTCGAAATATCGATAAAAAGTAGTAAATAAGTAACACCGCAACGCGACGAGAATGAACACAAACAAATACACATGGAAATCAGTAATGGCTAATATTTCGCCCCGGCATACGGGGCTTCATCAGAGCAAAAGACCATGTTCCCGCCACAAAATGGGAACACTGTCGCCAAATTTTTTGTTCTAGCTCAAGTTCAATTAGCCATAGCAAAATCTTAAGTTGACTGTTTAGATTGAAAACTATGGAAAATGTATCGAGGTGTAAAAATTATTACTGATTGCAAAATATTCTTGATATTTCCAATTTTCTCGCAGTAACGAACATAGTGGGAAAAGGAAAAATGATGAAGTACCGGTAAAATATATGAAAGAAAAAGTTGTTATTTGCGTAAACTTCTGAGATTTCTCGGACCTCGGAAATATTGACTTTATGCTTGGATGCGTGAAACTGTTCATTTTCTTCTCTGCTGTTGGGGAAAAGGTAATATGTCTTTACGTACTTTTTTGTACTGGAGCGTGCCTAATGATGTATAGGCCATTTCACGATATGTTGCTAACCGCTTAATATATTCGACGAAACAAAACAAAACTGTAATATATTTCCTTTATAAAAGTGAACTGAATGAGAAGAAATACAATGGGAAGCCCCCCTCCCTCTACCCTGGGTACCAGACTCACTATATATGAAATAAAATATTTTATATTTAGTGAGTCTGGTACCCAGGGTAGTGTCAGGCTAAACCCTTCTCTTATAATTAGGCAAGTATGGCTCAGGAATGCAATTAAACCTTCCCAAATAACAATAACTTTAAAAATTACATACTTTGGATAGTACAATATAAAGTTCAATAAAGTTTGCTAACGGACACACGAAAAGTAATCACAGGAAGCTAAAACAAGGTACGGACATAAAGTTTTTTCATCAATTTATCAATCAACCTCGTTTTGCGTGGATTTGTCACATGGAAGCAAGGGAATTTGGGATCATCACAGATTAGCATGTTTTGCAATTATTGTTATTTATTGGTATCAAGGGAAACAAGAATATGGAATGCCGTTTTTATTCATGCAAGGACAAAAGTATCTATATTATTCTGAAAGATAGGGAAACAACTGTTCTTGGTAGAGGTCCGCTAACGAAAATAAACGACGTAAAATGCTCTCGGGAACATGGTATGTAAAGTTTCCCCATTTGCATGAATTTGTCAATAAATTATTGACACGTAGATAAAGTTTACCTTGAATTTGATAAGCATTTCGCTTGTCTATGTTGTTATGTTTTGTAAAAATCACAGAAAATTCAAAATTTGCGACTGTTAAGAACTCCATCTTGCAACATTGTTGTTGTTGTTGTTTGGATCTTTTTTTAATTAGGGAGCAAAATATTTCTTATTTCTGAATACGATATAAGTGAAACTAATCTAATTCAAATAACTAAAGTATATTAAGTTTTCTTGGTTTCTGATCTGTAAAAGGATGGAAGTTGCATCCTAATATAAGTTACAGAGAACATATTAATTTTAAAGTTATATATTAAAAACCTTTTGGGATTGAAAATTGTTTGCCTCTCCCAGAATGTCTGTTTCATATTGTCATAGAGTTTTAGAGTGTACAGGTAAAGGCCAGCCTGCAGAATATGACAGTTCTCAATAAGATCTTGCCTACTGCAGCATACAGCAGTTTCCAAAGTAGGTTTTGGGTGTGCAAGAGCAAAGTTTCAAGTATGCAAGTTTGCACTTTGGCATGAGTGTTTACTTCAAATGTGCACATTAGTGTGAACTTCACGTTTTCATAAAGCCATTGAGGCTTACATGTAAAAAATTTCACAAGAAACAGACCTTCTACCCTTCCTGCATTTTCCATGTCTGTCACACATTTTTTTGTATCACGCATCATAAAATCCTCAAGAATAGGTGAATTAACAACAAAATATTTTGTCAGATAAATTTTCGGCCGATAAACTTTGTCAAAAAAGTTTCTGACAACTTTTCAGAATTTCGTTGTGGAAAAAAAATTGAAGTGACTTGTAGAGTCTCTATTCTATATCTATATGGTATGAAAGTTTATAAGCAGAGTATAATTAAAAGTAAATGTGTGAGTATAAGCATAAGACTCGGAAAGCATAAGACCATTTCCAACAGAAAAAGTTGGTTCCTGTGGAGTTTGGGTTGAAATTTGGGTTAAAATGTGCAAATACCTTGAGCAAATGAAAAAAATAGTTCCGTTGAGTACAAAAAAAGACAGAGATGAAATATCTTGAAACTGTGATAAAAAACAGCTAGAACAGTAGCATAGCCAAGGTGGTACGATATAGGGGGGGGGGTGTAAAGGCGAGTTGAGCAAGGGAAATTTAGGTATATACTCTTTTGAATGCCAGAAAATGCCCTTTCTAAAAGAGATGTTTTGCCATTTTTCAAAGACTATTGCCTTCCCATCACTATGCCACTGTGAAAACAAAGTTAGGTAGTTCAAGTACAGACAATCATGATAATGATTATGATGATGATTTAGATTATCTTCATCGTAGGCATTATAATTAAATTATGAAGATGATGTAAATGAGAAAATGATGTTATTGACTTAATTAAAGGATACATAAATTTGATTCCTGACCTCATGTAATAGTTTTTCTATGGAATTCACAAAATCTTAAATGCATAAAATTTCATCATAACCAGATTTTATGCCCCAATGTGAATGCCCTAATGCCATTAACATGGACAGAAATTCTGGGATGCCCCTAAAGTCATTATTAAAATTGAAATGCAAAGAAAATGTCATACTTCATTTCAAACTACCTTTCAAAGAGTGACATTTTCTTGCAATCACCAAAATGTCTGAGGGAGGTCCCTGAACCCTCTGACTAGGCCCACTTTGCCAATGCTTGACAACGTTGATGGTAAAATTACATTGTCACATAGAGTTAAAAGTTCAAATACATGCTTTTGCAATGCAGTGTCTTACTGTAATATTGAGGAATGTAAGTAAATTGTATCAGGAATAAGAAATTGATTAAATGAGTAACAAAGCCATGTTGTGACTACAATAACCAGATAATAGTAAGAGTTTTGAGTTTATCAGCCATATTAATGTTGATTAAGATCAACATGCATTTCTTTTCTCTTGCAAACCCGGAGTTGACCTAACTAGATGAAATCTGGCGTCTGATTATTCAGTGTCCAGTCTTCTTGTAAAGGCATCAGCTTCTCCCTTGTGCAAAAGGTTATTTAATTATGCAAAGTTTAACATTTTCAAGCAAATTAATACCTAATTATACCTAATTTGATTTCTTAGTTCTCAGTTACTGCTCTTAATTACAATTAAATCAATTATTGTTTTTGTTTTTATAGTTGAGGTAACTGCTGATTATCAATCAAAAGAGATTGAACTGAAACAGGTACTAAATTCATTTTAATTTTTTAATTTATTTTTGTTTAGGTTCAATGCATGGACAAAGCTTTTGTTGTCAGCTTCATTTAAGGTATTCTTACTTTGTAACAATTCATACACTTTATATTTTTATTCTTAGCATGTTATCTTTAATATTCTTAAAAATTAGTGAAGATGCTTAAGTTAAAATTTGCCATTGCATAGAAAAAGGTCCACACACTTTGTTAATAACTTTAGTTCTATTAGCCATTAATCATATTGTACTTGACTTTTCGAAATAAATAATGTTTGAGAAAATTGTCAATCTTATGATTTGGCTAATATTTACTTATTTTCCGATTATTTGTGTAAAATTTTCAATGCCAAAAATTGTCCTAGAACTGTTTTTTTAAATGTGTCCTGAAAATGCCAGAAAAATTGACTCAATAGTTTTTTACTATTTTATTTTAACCGTTTGAAACCTTATGCTTAATCCTATTTGAATAAATATATAGGTCTAGTTTACAATACCTAACCAAGTTTGAGCTTAAAGGTATTGAGTCATGATGAAAGGAGATGATATACCCAAACATACCTAAATCCACTGAGTCGTGATTTTTGTGCTGCAATGCTATTAGTTGACCTGGAACTAGTCACATGAACTCACCTTGTACTTATTAGCCAAAAAGTTTCAAACAATAGCAAGTTGTCAAAGACAATGAATGAGAATATCACGTGAAACTGCAGCAATCACTCAGAAGCCAATTGTTCCCCTATAGAAAAGTCCTATTTACCATGACTCAATGCCTTCAATTTATCAAGTTAGATCTTCTTGTATTTGTTAAGTTAAATTATTACTTAGAACATTGTTATTATATGTTAGTATTCAGTCAAAGTATTATTAATCATCGCTTATCAATAGTCTTAGAGTAATGTGGCAACATGGGGCTTTTTGGTTATAATTCTGTCATGATTCCATTGCATTTGTCATTAATGGGTCCTTTATATTATCTATCAGCCCTAAGGCTTCTTGAATGTTTTATGAATGATTTTCTCTATCTGCAGTTAGGGAGAAATCATAGTGCAGTTGGATCAACACTTCTTAAGAGAGGAGAGAGGAATTTTCTGGGTCCTGGTGCTGTCTTCTCATTTCTTGACGGAAAGCACAACTTTCGTGTTCAATTTATAGACACCAATACTCCACTGTTAGAAGAAGGAAATCTAGAGAAGACTTCTTGTGCAAATAAATTTAAATGTACTTTTCAAAACATTAGAAGATCCTTATCCAAAGAAACGCTTGTAAAATCTGACAAAATACCGTCTATATCCTTGAAAACAAAAAAGGGAGCAAGTTGTGACGATCCGGTGCCTGGTTTTCACGCTGTGATGGACTCAAACAAAGAAGAAAATCTCTTGCCAGCATCAGGCTGTCAAAAGAGTGGAGACGCACCACCGTTTGAATCCCCATCTGGAAAGAGAAAGCGTAAAAGAAGTGATGACCCCCATACGGCTGCTTCTGAAACACCAAAAAAATTGAGAAAATCATTAAGTGGAAAACTACTTTCTTGCGTTTCTGCCGAGGATGAGACAGATGTAGACATGGACAACCTGAAGGCTGAGTTTGGTAATGATATTTTGAAAGAACTTGAAAAGGAATTGAGTCGATCGGGTGATTCACAAGCTATTTCTAACGCTCAGAAAATAGATTCTTCAAGAAACAAACAACATGACTTGAATTTTAAAAACATGAAAACTTCTGAACAAGCAGCGACAGAGGTAAAGGAAAACTCATGGAAACTTCAAGAAGGACTAATGGTGTTCTGTGGAAAAGGTGTGAAAGCAAGAGAAAAGGTATTGCTTGAATTTCTATAAAATTTTCTCGAAATATTCTCTGCTAACATTTCAAAAAAGGTATTACTGATTTGCATCGAACTGTTTGTATTTCTTAGGTGGCATGCTTCGATCTTGATGGTACCCTTATCTGCACAAAATCAGGAAAGGTTTTTCCAACTGGGCCTGACGATTGGAAGTAAGTGAGGCATTATCTTGATTTTTCAGTTTTGGGATAATTCTTTGTTTTCTCAAAATGATTCAGAAAGCTATATTCAAAATTGATTTGAAGGTCCTACCAGCCTATTTCATTGGCAGAATCACAAATAGATCTTAGCAGAAGAAAGAATGAATGAATATTAAATTTTAAGTTACTATTCGCTCAGTATTCTTCAACTCCTGTCATAAACATCAACTTGAAAAAGATAATCATGAGCATTGTTCAAATGACTAAAAGTTGTGTTGACATAACTGTAACAGTTCAGTAGAAAAGAAGGAGAAATTAATGGAACAAAGTCACCAAACCCTCACAGTGACAACTGTTCAAATGGAAGGACCATCTTGAGAGCCCAAACCATTCATTTCATTGCACCAATCAAAATGATCCACACTCGTAAAATTGCGAATGGTCATCAGGGCATGGTTTCGAAAAACAACAACTGGAATAAAACAAATAAACAAAAAACACATTATAGGAGAGTTGATTACCTGCACCAATTTTTAGGCAACTTCGTGGACGAATAAGCATTGGGAGCCGCAAGTATTAATTGTCGATAGAATAACTTAGATCCGTGAAAAAAATTTCTTCACAGACATTCAAATATTTCTTATATGCAATTTCATTAACTGAGTGCAAATTATCATATATACAAATTACCACACACTTTATAATTTTGGGTCCAGCAGTATCAAAGCAGCTAAAGATAACGCGCGCCTTCATCTGGAGCTAATACTACCCCGTAGTTTCTTAGTTTCATAACAAGCTGTCATTGATGTGCATCACCCTTCAATCTATTTTTCATTCGTGTTAGATAGAAACAACATATATTTGATTTTTTAAAATTCCCTTGCCTCATCATTATCTACAGCTTTTCATTGTTCCAACTAAGATCGTCTAAATTTATAATAACTTTTTTCAAAAATCATTCATAGGAAACTTTGAAATGAAGAAAAACTATCGAAAATGCTTTAAGTCAGAAAAGTAAAAATTTGTTGATATTATAATTTAACTTTTGAAGAAGCAGTGGAAATGGTAAACTCGGAGCAGATTAATGCTATTATTTTGAAAGTGATTAGATTAGAGAAACATCAATTGGCCCCCTTGCCCCCCTCTCGGCGGCCCAGGGTGTGGGGTTGGTAGAGTCACAAGGTAATACGCATAGCATGACTGTGGAGAACCTACTAGCAAATCTATTCTCTATTCATATTATGAACTTGTCGCAATAGTAAAGCGCTTCACAAATCGACTATTAATCCACTGAAAGTTTCTCGTTCAGAACGATAGTTATCAAGTATTTTCATAGCATTTAAATTCTGTTCTAGATCCATAGTATTTTCATAGCATTTAAATTCTGTTCTAGATCCATGATTTAGAAATATTTTGTTTTGAGGTTATTATTTGCCAACGTGAAGAGCAAAATCAAGCAACTACATGATGCAAGTTATAAGGTAATTTTCACCGAAGTCTTAAAGTTTCTAAAGACAGCAAACAGTGTTTCATATTCCGCTACTTTATGTCCCTTTATTTCTCTGCCATCATCCTATGTTAAACGAATGCCTTTTATCGAGGGAGACGAATGAGTTTTGATAAACAGAATTAGACTTTCCAAATTCCGAGGGGCAATCCCATCGTTCCGAGGGTCTGGGTCTCTGCCACAGGGTTACGGGGAGTCAGGAGGCATGCCCCCCCTTCTGCGCTAAAATCGTTTGAATTAGCTTAAATTTTAATGTTGATCAACCTGAAGATTACAGCAAATATATGGAGTCAAATCCTTCAAGTAAAACAGCTCGAGTATCACTCTTGCCACAACGAGGTAAAGGGGCTCAGTGGTGGGTATGAGGATCATTTATTTACATAGCTGCCCCAAGTTTTGAATCGTTATTACATTCTCTCCTACTTATACCCACCGTGCATCAACATGCTATTAAAAACTGACGGTCTTTTTAAACTTTGAATTCTTGCTAACGGTTACCATCGAAGTAATAAAATTGAGTTGACCTTTCCTTTCCGTGCTTAGATCAAATGAACTTTGAGTCTTCTTTCTATTATTGTTGACAGGATTTTTAACACCAAATTACTCCAAATGCTTATTTCACGTGCAAACGCGTGAGATGACGCCATGATTAAATCGGATTGAAAAGCGTGGTGTACTATGGCCGTGTCTCTTTTAATATGCGTAGAACAGATGTCCATTGAGAAAGCTTGCCCACCGGTTGGATCAAATCTTAAAAGGCTTTAGTGATTTATTACTCATAAACTGCCCTGCTGTCTTGCTATAATACTGCCCTGAAATGACGAAATTTTCAACAAAAACACCCCGTCCAGACTTATGCGGATATTGTTGAATCCGCAAACTTTTCTTTTCGAGCTAGCGTTAATTGGAGATTTCAAATGATTCAAAAGGAGGCTCAGTTTAAGAATAGGAGTTTACAGCAAAACTTTGCTGTTTCTTATAATTCCTCAAAATATGATTGCCTTTATCGACAGTAGCTATTTGTTGAAACGGTTGTTACCCTGGGTACCAGAGCCACGTTAATTCGAGCGCGGAAATAGAGGACAATCACCGTGATCAATTTTGGAAGGCGCTTTCCTGATTGGTTAAAAACCTTGGACATGAGAATGGGTGAGGGTTAGCCTAGAGCTACTTTCTGTTCTTCTCAGATAAAGGCTCCTTCACTTCTCCGCTCTTATCTTCTATTTCCGTGTTTGATTTATGTGGCTCTGGTACCCAGGATAGAAGAGTATAGAAAAACAGTAGTATTTTTATTCTGATAATTTTGTCCTCGTGACGTTTGTTCTTTATTATTATTGCTGACCAGTCTATTGTAAAGTGCTCGATTCCCACTATATATCTTTTGTGTTATTTTGTGTAAAATTTCCTTAAATAGATACTACCATGTATTCCTTGCCACCATAAAGCACGATGCGTTCATACTTTTTAATTCTTCTGTACGCTTTCTATTCTTTTTATTGATCCTTTCATTTTACTTTTCTTGCAGATTGTTTTGTTTACAAATCAGGTAAATAATGATGTTTACAGCATAACATTCTATTTCGTAAAGAAGTCAAGAAAAGATGATTAGGTTTTTGGGGGAAATTGGTCCTTTGTCATCTTCTTATCTGTTACAGTTTTTGGCGGATACAGAATAAGATTTGACGGTGGTATATTAAAGCAACATCAACGAGGTCCTTAGGGCTTGCAGTAATTCTGAGGGTGATGAGATTGGGGAATTTTTTCAATATTTAGTCAGCTCTGAAACGTGTTAATTTCATCAAAAATTTCTGCCGATATACGGTTTTCCGAATTTTCCAGCAAATCCAACACGCAGTTGAAAATATCTCGAGATCCAGGATTGTACCCCCCACCCCCCTCTCCCCTCCTGTGCACCTCTTCTGTATAGGAAGTTTGGAGTCTTCTGTTCGACACCCTGTATTCGCCCCTGGTTACAGTTTTATGGACATTAAAAGGAAATAGCTAGATTTACTCGTATCGATGCCTATTTATTGTGACTACGAGGTATGTAAAATGTGGTTTGCTTTATACAGAAAGACTGTGCACCAAGTGATTTGCCAATATTACGCTCCAGTAAGCGGGGCTTTTCTGAAGCCAAATACAAATTGATCATTTTATTCATCACTGTAGGCGGTAAATTCAAAATCTGACCGGCATGAATTTTGTTGTTTACTTATAGTTATTTGTATTTTCAATTTTTTATATGTATGTAATCAAAGTTCCTGCTGATGAAAGACAGCTTCGTCTAAGGAAGCCGGTTGCGCAAGAACCTTTAAACTGGAATCATTGGCAATGAAATTTTGTATCTCCAATTGCATTAAACTTTGTAATTCAATTCAAATTGACGTTTTTATCTTGTAGAAAGGCCTTGGAAAATGGAAGGTATCTGTAGATGAGTTCAAGCAAAAAATTACAAAAATACAAGAAGCTTTGGATACTCCATTGCAGGTATCATTTGATTGGGAATAGGTATTCTGTAGGCATTGCTTAATGATGTAGTATTGATATATACCAAGCAATACTTTGCACTAATCAAAGCATTCGTGAATGATATAGTATTGATATATACCAAGCAATACTTTGCACTAATCAGAGCATTTGTGAATGATATAGTATTGATATATACATCAAGCAATACTTTGCACTAATCAGAGCATTGGTAAATGATATCGTATTGATATATACATCAAGCAATACTTTGCACTAATCAGAGCATTGGTAAATGATATCGTATTGATATATACCAAGCAATACTTTGCACTAGGCAGAACACTCGTGAATGATATAGTATTGATATATACATCAAGCAATACTTTGCACTAATCAGAGCATTGGTAAATGATATCGTATTGATATATACCAAGCAATACATTGCACTAGGCAGAACACTCGTGAATGATATAGTATTGATATATACATCAAGGAATACTTTGCACTAATCAGAGCATTGGTAAATGATATCGTATTGATATATACCAAGCAATACTTTGCACTAGGCAGAACACTCATGAATGATATAGTATTGATATATACATCAAGCAATACTTTGCACTAATCAGAGCATTGGTAAATGATATCGTATTGATATATACATCAAGCAATACTTTGCACTAATCAGAGCATTGGTAAATGATATCGTATTGATATATACCAAGCAATACTTTGCACTAGGCAGAACACTCGTGAATGATATAGTATTGATATATACATCAAGCAATACTTTGCACTAATCAGAGCATTGGTAAATGATATCGTATTGATATATACCAAGCAATACATTGCACTAGGCAGAACACTCGTGAATGATATAGTATTGATATATACATCAAGGAATACTTTGCACTAATCAGAGCATTGGTAAATGATATCGTATTGATATATACCAAGCAATACTTTGCACTAGGCAGAACACTCATGAATGATATAGTATTGATATATACATCAAGCAATACTTTGCACTAATCAGAGCATTGGTAAATGATATCGTATTGATATATACATCAAGCAATACTTTGCACTAATCAGAGCATTGGTAAATGATATCGTATTGATATATACCAAGCAATACTTTGCACTAGGCAGAACACTCATGAATGATATAGTATTGATATATACATCAAGCAATACTTTGCACTAATCAGAGCATTGGTAAATGATATCGTATTGATATATACCAAGCAATACATTGCACTAGGCAGAACACTCGTGAATGATATAGTATTGATATATACCAAGCAATACTTTGCACTAGGCAGAACACTCGTGAATGATATAGTATTGATATATACATCAAGCAATACTTTGCACTAATCAGAGCATTGGTAAATGATATCGTATTGATATATACCAAGCAATACATTGCACTAGGCAGAACACTCGTGAATGATATAGTATTGATATATACATCAAGCAATACTTTGCACTAATCAGAGCATTGGTAAATGATATCGTATTGATATATACCAAGCAATACTTTGCACTAGGCAGAACACTCATGAATGATATAGTATTGATATATACATCAAGCAATACTTTGCACTAATCAGAGCATTGGTAAATGATATCGTATTGATATATACATCAAGCAATACTTTGCACTAATCAGAGCATTGGTAAATGATATCGTATTGATATATACCAAGCAATACTTTGCACTAATCAGAGCATTGGTAAATGATATAGTATTGATGTATACATCAAGCAATACTTTGCACTAATCAGAGCATTGGTAAATGATATCGTATTGATATATACCAAGCAATACTTTGCACTAATCAGAGCATTGGTAAATGATATAGTATTGATGTATACATCAAGCAATACTTTGCACTAATCAGAGCATTGGTAAATGATATCGTATTGATATATACCAAGCAATACTTTGCACTAGGCAGAACACTCGTGAATGATATAGTATTGATGTATACATCAAGCAATACTTTGCATTAATCAGAGCATTGGTAAATGATATCGTATTGATATATACCAAGCAATACTTTGCACTAATCAGAGCATTGGTAAATGATATCGTATTGATATATACCAAGCAATACTTTGCACTAATCAGAGCATTCGTGAATGATATAGTATCGATATATACCAAGCAATACTTTGCACTAATCAGATCACTCGTGAATGATATAGTATTGATATATACCAAGCAATACTTTGCACTAATCAGAGCATTTGTGAATGATATAGTATTGATGTATACATCAAGCAATACTTTGCACTAATCAGAGCATTGGTAAATGATATCGTATTGATATATACCAAGCAATACTTTGCACTAATCAGAGCATTGGTAAATGATATCGTATTGATATATACATCAAGCAATACTTTGCACTAATCAGAACACTCGTGAATGATATAGTATTGATATATACCAAGCAATACTTTGCACTAATCAGAGCATTTGTGAATGATATAGTATTGATGTATACATCAAGCAATACTTTGCACTAATCAGAGCATTGGTAAATGATATCGTATTGATATATACCAAGCAATACTTTGCACTAATCAGAGCATTGGTAAATGATATCGTATTGATATATACATCAAGCAATACTTTGCACTAATCAGAACACTCGTGAATGATATAGTATTGATATATACCAAGCAATACTTTGCACTAATCAGATCACTCGTGAATGATATAGTATTGATATATACCAAGCAATACTTTGCACTACTCAGAGCATTTGTGAATGATATAGTATTGATATATACCAAGCAATACTTTGCACTAATCAGATCACTCGTGAATGATATAGTATTGATATATACCAAGCAATACTTTGCACTACTCAGAGCATTTGTGAATGATATAGTATTGATATATACCAAGCAATACTTTGCACTAATCAGATCACTCGTGAATGATATAGTATTGATATATACCAAGCAATACTTTGCACTACTCAGAGCATTTGTGAATGATATAGTATTGATATATACCAAGCAATACTTTGCACTAATCAGAACACTCGTTAATGATATCGTATTGATATATACATCAAGCAATACTTTGCACTAATCAGAGCATTTGTGAATGATATAGTATTGATGTATACATCAAGCAATACTTTGCACTAATCAGAGACCAGTGATTATTTATTGAAAGAATTCTTTCTAGACTATAGAGAAACCTTTCCAAATGGTGTTTTATTGTGCAAGGCAGATTTATATAATTTTATCAGCCAGATTTATAAGATTTATCGGCCAGAATAGTTTTCGGTAATTGGAAAAATAGCTAGGAAAGTATTCTTTCCTTCCCATGCCGTTTGTGTAACTTAAAGTTTCATGATTTTAAACTATGTGGTGAAAGATCGACGCTTCAGAAATGAACCGTCGGGAGATTTTCATAACCTGAATTTGTTTCTCTCTTCATAGTGCTTTGTGGCAACTGGGGTGGATAAATACAGAAAACCAGTGACAGGAATGTGGCAAGAATTGTGTAGCAAAGTACCCAATTGCTATTGATATTTTTTCTGTGGCTCGATCTTTTTTAAAACATACATGATCTCTTTTAAGCAATCTTTTCGCTAGCTTTTTAAAGAAATAATATTAATTTAGTCCCTGGCAGAACAATAATGTTCTTCTGTTATATTTTAATAGCGAGCAAATAAGTAAGTTCTTTCAAGATTTGCGTGGTTTTTTGTTTACAATTACATCTGTTTTATTTTTTTTTGCCCTCTCGAATTAGTTTTCGATTGATTCATTGACCGACCGGTTGATTGATTTGACTGATTGATTGATTTCATTCAAGTGATGTAACATCATAAGCGACAGCAGCAACAGCAGCAACTGCAGCAACAACACTGACAAGATTCAAAGTTTAAGAATTCAGTAAAATTTAAAAATACAGTTATACTGTACAATTAAATGCAAGATAAAATAATCGAATTTAGGAGGTGCTTCCAAACTAGGAAAACAACAAGGGAAGTAATCTTAGATATTAATTCATTGATTCTTTTTCAGTACAATGACAGTGTAGCGATCGACATCCCGCTTTCCTTCTATGTTGGAGGTATGTATATGATTTAAGGTTTTTTATGACTTCTTTCCAGTTCCCCTTCTTTTCATATTATTTATAATTATTATTAGAATATTTCTAATAACCCATTTTTCTATACTAAAATCCATTCAAAGGCGCCTTACAAGTTTTGGTAAACAAAGCAAAATTATGGAACAAGTAGTTACCATATAAAGCTATATAAAATTACAAATATCCATCAAATGCCATTTTTAACTTAGTCAATGCTTCAATTGGATCCTCTTATCAACAGAACATATATTGACTCGATTTTTTAAGTCGATTATTCGATGTGTATGAATTCCTTTTGGATCTTCAAAATCTGAGGACGTCTTTTACAAAGAAGGATAACTTTTCAAAAACATGCACCGATTATTTTAGGGGCCTTACTGCATACGTACTACTTACTATGATATCCAGTACATTGTAAGGCCAAATCACCTCTTCCCTTCTCATTTTTTACATTATTAACAATATTTTTGCAGTTTAGGATAAAATAAGCTTTGGGAAAAGCGAAAAATTATGTATCATGCTATTGTGTAGACAGAAGGAGTTCGTTTTTACTTAGGACTTCATTGGTAACATTTTCTATAGGCAAGCGGCACTGATTGGTCAACCTTAACAGTCATGTGCTCGCGTTTCTGATTGGCCTATTTCTATCCACGACTGAGTAAACATACATAATTCCTAGATACGAGTTTTTTGTAAATATTCTGACGTTTGTGAAGAATTTCAGAAGAAATGCTTTACTATGTTATAAAATTTTTGCCTTTTCCAAAACGATTTTCTAATTACCTTAGTGAGCAGCATGTTATAGAATATTGTCCATGATAGGTAATACTTCTAGTGTGTGATTTTCGTTTGTAGAGAAATGTTTATTTGTAATTTAGATGCAGCTGGGAGACCAGCTGGCTGGGTTAAAGGGAAGAAAAAGGACTTTTCTTGTGCGGATCGTTGTGTAAGTAAACTTGGTTACATTATTCCGTAAGACTTTGGAAAAAAAGCATATGCGCTTTTATGGGACAAAACTGGCCGATTGAAATATACTTTCATCTATATACAAATACCAGATCAGGCAGGATAGACCTCTTTTTCAAAGATTCAAAATTATGATTGGATAGCGCCCTGTGATAATTTGGCGTGCAAATGAGGCAGAGTGTAATTTGCAGGATTTAACGAAGCTAATAAATTAATATTTTCTCGGTCTACACAAAAAGCTGGTTCATTTTGACGTAGGAAAATTCTTTTTCTTCTATAGATAAAATTTGAGAACTACAGTTTTCATTACTTAGGCAAAAAATGTCAAGATAGAATTATTTAGCAAATAAGAAACACCGCAATTTGCCAAGAATAAACAGCAATAAATGCACATAAATTAGTGAAGGCAAATATTTCGCCCCGGCATACGGGGCTTCCTCAGAGCCTAGCCTCAGAGCCGTCAAAGTTAACGGACTAAAAATGTACGCATTGACAGGATACCTTGAAAACATTGATGCAGTGAACTCAAGACAGAAGAGAAACTTGTTCATGTGTTTTATTTTGATTCGTCCAGTATCGTGTCCTTGACAGAGCAAAATTTGTGTGGTTTTGTCATAACGTCAAATAAAATTGTTCAGAAATCTTTCAAGGAAGGGTGAAAGCTTTTTCTTTATGTTGCATTTTTACCAATAAACCAATAGATAGTGATGGAGAAAAGCCACATTTTTCACGTTATCGACCAAATCCCTTCTGTCTTAATGCTTTCGATATTAAGCAGGGACAGACATAGACTTTTGCTTTATACTATCATGATTATTTCTCTCTAACATATTTTCCACTTGCTCGATGGTGACAACGCACGTTGCTCTTTTTTATTCCGTTGCCAATGCCATACTCTTAAACACATTTTTCTTAGTGCATCTAATCTGGTACATTCCCCTTGGTTTCTATGTTTGTTTTTTCTGCTATAAATTGTATTTAGGCGAATTTAATTCTGTTTAGTAATCACTGATGAAATTAAAACTGATGAAATTTGTTACAGGGATTTTTTCTCAGGATAATTATTATTTACGTTGTATTTTTGTTGTCTATATTTTAATAATTTTGATTTTAAAACGGCTTTTTAAAATGCAATTCATTTTATTTTGTGCCGCAAAAAAAAACTTTCTTGTCATAGAAATTTATTTTAAGAATAGTATTCTTAATATTATATGTAAATAAGTTATTTTTTGTTTTGTTTTAGTAGATATGAATTTTATCTCCATTGTCTAAATCAAATTTGACACTGATTGATATACTTTTCAAGTTTGCTGCGAACATTGGACTGAACTTTCATACTCCGGATGAGTTCTTTCTTAACTGGAACAAAGCCGCTTTCACTTGGCCTCAGTTCAAACCCGTGAGTTAAAGATTGCATCAAATGTAGCTCCATTATTCATTGTTTGTTATCTTTAAATCTTTTAAGGTCAATTTTCGCAGACTGATCAGGTTTTATCACTGTAGTAATTATTTTTGAGGTCTGCAAATGGCATTTGAGGCTTCTAAATGTAAATTTTCTTCGAACTCCTTCTGTCGGTTTGTTAAAATATCATCTTACCAAAGTTTCGGTGATTAAAACTAAATTTAGGCCAATATATGACCGTTTATATTATAAGCTTGTTTCATAATTTACCCTATAGCTATTGAAAATAGATTTTTTATTGAAAACAAAGCACAAAATTTACAAGCTCTTCAATAATTTTTCCGCGGAAATTAATCCATTGCCTTGTTGTTTCACAGTTGCCAAGAATGTTTATATAGTTTTCCTGTATACAGAGATTCTGAAGCTTTTTATATTTATTGAATGTAGCAACAGTATTTGAGAAAACGAAGCTCCAGTTAAGTTTAACGATCATTTCAATGCTCAGAGGTTATGTTTACCTCGAATAGGACGAATGGTCGTGAGTTTTTGAGCAAACACCCGTTATCCATTGCTCTTTAACGCTTATAACCCACATTGAGATGAAATGCTTTAATCAATGTTTGACTTTGCAAGAAAATTTTATTTTTTAATCCTAATACACAAATATCTGCACTCAGAAGATCAACGTTTTGGATCTGCTGCATTTTCCTCTAAAAGATTTTCAGATTTCTTGGTTTTCTGAAAAATATTCAGTAGAGTTTTCATTGTTTTTTTATTATTTTTTGTGCAGAGGACTTTGATGAAAAGTCAACAACTGCTACACCCTGGAAATTCAAATGCTGCATTAGCAAGACAGACGCAAGAGGTTAGTTTCTTAAAAGTCGATGGAACATTGGTTTAATTCGTAGAGCAGCGAACTGTAGTGCTGAAGTTTTAAAGTATGTGCCCAAATTACTCGCCAGCAGGAGAAGGTACATTATGTGAACAGATCATTTTATGAGACCAGCATTAATTAAGAACAGATCATATAAGGCCAGCATTATGCAGGAAAACAAGGATAGCTTGAGCTTTCTCCTGGGTTGCCCTCGTTTTGTCCACATATTTCCTCAGTTTCCATGCAGATCTATCACGTTTCATCATTAGAAATCTGAATTTGGTGGATGTTCATTTAGTTTTTATAAGTCGTTTTTATAGAGCTAAGAACAATTTTGAAGTTAACAATTCCTAAAGCATCGAAATTATCATGAATTTTCGTTAGCAATATCGCGAGTAGTTATTAGAAAACAACTACCTTTTTCTTTTCCTTTCATCCAACCAAATGAATTTTGTGAATTTGTTATAAGGTCACCTCACATATTGAGCCAAAAGAAAGGAGATTGAATTTTACTGTCCTCGACGAGTGAGGCCATTATGCAGAACGTTTTGTTGTTTTTATAATTTTTCGATAGAAATGTTTCTGTTTTCTGTTTTTCCATTTCCAAGCTCATTAAGGGTAGATTTCTTGGAACAGAATTTAGGTAGAGCACAGTAATGAGTTGAGCCTTGTTCTGGTTTATAATTTGTCTTAAACCTGATTATTACAGTCGTGAAATGAAGATTTTTAAGTTGTGAAATGAAGAAATGAATACAGTTGTGTGCCAGAGCGTCTGTGATAGGCTATGTTGAAGAAAAAATTAAAAAGAGGCCAGTAAATGATTGGTACTAGTGAAGCTTTGGCATGCAGGGTGAAATGAGAATAGCATTATATGCGTGTAATGTTTAGCCTACACACTATGGATATAGAGAGGTTTTTTACTGTTTTTTTACTGCTTTTGTTTCAAATTCCAAAGCATTTATCCTACATTCCCACGCATTCACCATTGCTAAATATGTTTTTCCCTGGGTTCAGTGTGACAATACTGCTTTATCCAATGCCAAGCTCATTGTCATGATTCAATGTCTTCGTATTTTATTTTTCTAAAATCAGCAGTCTTATGCCACTTCGTCTCTTAATTCATCAGATTGTCCTCATGGTTGGATTTCCTGCATGTAAATATACTCATTCTTTTATACGTCAATATTTGTCTGAAAGGGTCTTTTATGCTGACGACTGATATAATCTTGATACCACACCTTACTGACTCTCTATTTTCATTGAGTACAGTGACTGCCTACAAAAAATTTCCGGAAGTTAACAATTTGTAAGCTTTGCATTGTATACTTCCTTTATTATGTCAAGCAAAATCTGGAGTTTAGCTAAAGTCTTTTCTTGCTTGAAAGGCTTATGAGAATATTTTAAAAAATGAAGCGTTTTGTCACCCTTAGCTTTAAATACGCACTGTTTTAGGTGTGACACAGAGGATAAGAACGTTGGTACATAAAGTACAATAACTTGATTGAATGACGTAATACACCTCGCTAAGACAGTGAAGCGACCTCATTCATGCCTGTAGCTAAGAAATCAGCCCCCAGTTACTTTATAAATGATGAAACTGCAAAGTGACTTTTAGCGTGAATTTATGTAGACAGTGTTTTTGCTGAAGAAAAAGCCATTTCAAGAAATTTCTGGCAACTGAAAAACTTCTGTTTGATTCTCAAAAACAGCGCTGAAAAACCTTTCTGAATCCAACTAACTTTTGAAGCAAAGAAATTGTTTTTCTTTCCCTCGCTTGTTTATAACGACCACGTGATATGAAAAAATTTACAATGAGCTGGAAAAAAGACTAAAGTCAATTTTCAGAACAATGCTTGGTATTTATCACTTCTAATTGTGTTTTGAATATAAGTCGATTCTTTTCGTCATATTTTCTCATAAGGAATCGCTACAGCTGATGATAAGCATTTTCACCTTTGCCAACCTGTTGCTTTCTCCTAACCCTGATCTTTCCCAGCAGTTGCAATCATTACTTGTGATCAACATCGACATAATCCCTTAGTTAATCAATTAATTTATAAATCTCATTCCACAGTTGCCTGATGATGGCATTAAGCTTAAAACTCGGAGTAGCAACTTAAAACCGTCCTCTTCTATACATCAAATAGCGGGTACAGTTCTGCCTAAGCTGCATCGAACAGTTTATGACAGTAACTTACATGACTCTGATTCCAGTGTATAACTTGTATTTATCATTTGTGCTTTAGGTGGCAAATCGTCTTTTGCCAAGAAATACTTCGTGTCGAAGGGATATTCTCATATCAGTCGGGTGAGTTCGAATTCCTGCAACGTATATTGGTCATCATACAGCATTCTTGTTTAATGAATTCCAATAACAACTTAGCACTATGATGGGGCGAGGTGCTAAGTTGCAGGAGTGCTCGAATTGAATTGATCGGTTGAAATAGCCTGAACAGATAGCAAGTTATTTCATAGAAAGAAAATCTGTGGAAAAGACGTGAGAAGTAGCTCACTAAAATATTGCCATGTAGACATCTAGTACGCATATTTTGGAGGAATCGTGTGAGGATGGCTCAGTGGTTAAAGTCATGGACGTCAGGTCGTGGGTTTGAGTCTCTGGCATGATCAGAGTTAGAAGTGTCATCAACTTTATGTTATTCAAGGTTTAAGAATCACGAGGTGTTTTCAAGTAGTGTTATATATTCGATAGGAAAGAAGAGGACTCTACACTTCAAAGGCATTGAGTCATGGTAAATAGGCCTTCTCTATAGGGGGTCATTTGGTTTCGGCGTGATCGTTGCTGTTTCACGTGATATTGGCATCCGTTGTTGACAACTTGCTATTGATGGAAACTGTTTTGTTAATCAGTACGAGGTGAGTTCATGTGACCAGATTAAGGTCAACCAATAGCATCGCAGTCATGAAAATCGTGACTCAGCGGATTTTGGCACTTTGGGTATACCCAATTCATTTTATCATGACTCAATACCTTTAAGCATAGCTTATCAGTGTCCTGAGAACACTTTAAGCTCGGTAGTAATGAATACAAGTAAAACCGTAAACATTCTTGATTTTCGTTTCTTGTGTCATATCTCATTGTGACAAAATCAATGTTGCTTTTTGTCTTAACAACAAGCATTCTGTTGAGATTTCTAGTTCTGCTTTCTTATACCTCCCTTATAATTTTCGACACTATAGACTTTCCAATACCATATGCATTGGTTATCTTCCTGTAGTAGTCTTCGTCAGAAGTTAGGAACAAAAAAACAGCCACTTGAACATCGCAATTATCGGTTCTACACAATTTAAAATCTTAGACAGACGGTGTTGAGATTCTATAGCCCCCTCCCCCCAATTCAATGTTGATATTTCTGCCTCTAAAATACATAAGGTCCAGCTTTGAATATGGGGGGAGAGGTGTAGGGTAGATGTTTGATTATAGATGCACATCATCGGGCATACGTCATCGGGCATACGTCATCGGGCATACGTCATCGGGCATACGTTTAGGGTTTTGTTCAAAAGTTCTATCCAAGGTTGTAAAATGCTGCTTTTGGAGATATGGGCATAGTTCGAATGACACTACTTTGAACATCGTTTGCTTATGACTTTGATCAGGTTTGGTGTCAAGTTACTCAATTTTCGAGTATGTTAGCGGCAATGCGAAATCAAAATTGGATTCATTCAGCTACGTTTTCGTACGATAGCAAAGTGATAGGAACCGGGCCTTGATTTCAATAATTAGCTTTCAATAAAGGTTTCATAAAATATAATGTCGAATAACGATTCCCAGGAAAGTCAAGACAAGCAAAATAATTAGATACGTGATGAATATAGCTGCGCTAACTTAAATGCATATCAAAAATTCTTGTAATCAATTATGCGTCTACATCTGTTAGTGCTGTCAAACTCATATCATTATTTCAATTTGGTGTAAATTTTGAAAGTCCGTGAAGATTGAGCTTCAAATTTTACTCGCTGGCTTATTCCCTCTTCAGTTATGCTATAAACAGCTGAGCCTCAGAGTGGTATTTTCAGCAAAGGCCTTAGTGGATAGTTTTTATTGATGGTCTTTGTTTCAAACATACCCACATTATTCCGATTTGTTGTAGCCCAGTGGTACCTCTTTTTTAATTGTTGGATTTATTAGTAACATTGCCATGTTGATTCATGTGAAAATTAGTCGAGAATATGGTCGTAAATCCAGACTGATAATTATGCTTATTGCTGTTATCAACATTACATTTAAAGCTTTTTTGATCAACTACGTTGTGCTACCTCTGCGACATCAGAAACTCTAGCGTTTTATTATTTCTTTTAATCAAACAAACAAACAAACAGGACTATAATCACAAGGGCGATTGATTTTGATAAGTACTATCCTCTCTATCGCAGTGGGTGTGTGTAGTGGATTGTCTACTGCCTTTTTCAAAACTGCTTTGGTCGAATCAGTTATTGTAACAACGATCTCTCGTTTCTTTACAAATGTGGCTCTTTGTCCATATTATCATCTACATTAACTATCAAAAGGGACAAATCAATTATGAGGCTAGCACTTGGGGTAACAACGAGTTTTGAGTTTTTGAGTCTGAGACGAACATAAAACTTTGTGGATTGAAGTTTAATGCAAAAATGTGTAAAAATGGCGAAATCGTGAGGGTTGATAGGTCTGTATTTTTCTTAAAATCGCCAGTTCAAACTTAACCATCCCAATCTTACACACTTAATTACCTCCATCAATACTAAAAGACCACTGCACGATAGATATATCAGGGAATATGGAACTATTAATGTGGTATTTGAAATAAAAATAAATTCAAAGGTAACTGTAACATATTTTAATGAAATGAAAAACCATTGCATGAATAATATCACACTATCTGAGCCCTACTTAAAAACTGCAATTGCAAGCAATTTTTATTCATTTCAATCATCTTTTTTTTAAACCAGAAACAGTGGCTGTTTAAGGAAGGCCAGGGGGCACAGCCCAGCCTCTGAGCCAGGGGGCCCCACAACTAATATGTACAGGTCCTGAGTCTTTAAAACCACAGGTGGCCAGAACAGTTTGTATTTTTGTGCTGCCTTTTGTTAAATACAACCATTTTTATGTAAAAAATGCCTCAAAATGTTCTTATGAACCTAAAAGTCTCTTATTTTTACAAAAATGTTCATTGGTTCATGTGTGTTCACAAAATTTTTGTTTCTTTTCTTGAAGGACACACTAGGTACTTGGCAAAAATGTGTCACAAATTGCCGTTCTGTGATTTCCCAGGGGAAGAGTGCTATTATTGACAATACAAATCCAGACAAAGTCAGCAGAAAAAGGTATAATGCTTTCCATTCATGTGTTTTTCTTTTAATCAGCCTTTATGATGAGCTAGACTGGGAATTGCTAAACTGGGATCGGACATCTTGTTTTTGGACATCTTCATTAGATTATTAACGCACCTGTGCTAGGTCTTAAATTGTTTTTCCAATCTCACTAGGACACATACAATGCTGAGCCTGCTTTGGGTATATTCAAAAAAAATTATCATCCCTTTCCAACTCTGAAATTGTGCTTTATGTCAAGAATGAAATTTTATACACAAGGAGTGATTTATTGGTTGAATGACTCTGCTATTGAAAATCTATTTATATGTATCAAGTGCTATTTTTCCCAAATCTTTGGCCAAAGAAGAATTTGCTGTTCTTTTTTGTCTCCAGGTTTCAAAATTTGTTGATTAGAAAATATTGGTTGTAATGGCTGGGTTGTAGAATAAAATCCTTTTTGTTTAGCAAAGCTTTATAAAAAGTACCAAAGTTTCTGACCAATTATACAATACTTTTTCAAAAGATATATCTCTATTGCTGCTGAGAAAAAAGTTCCAATAAGATGTTTCCAGTTTACAACATCAATGGAGCATGCTGTTCACAATAACAAGGTAACGTTACCTTCACTTTAAGATTGTTCTTTTAGCTTAATTATACAAATAACTCAGTGATGCCACAGTTGTTGAAGTATATTGAGACCTAGATTAGGATGTCAGAAGAAGGGCTAATCCTCCTTACTAACTCCAAAAGTTGCAATTTTTTATCTAAGTCAGTTTTAAGAAATTTTTTGTGATGACCTGTTCTTTCTTTTCCTTGCAATAAACCCCTAATTTAGGCTACAAAGATTTAATGACAAGCAAAGATGTACAAGACATTATTTCATAAATGTGTATCAAACATCACATTACTTTGATCTAGTCTTAAGCTCATTTATCAATATTACTGGAATTTCTGTCTACAGCTCTAAATCAAATATTTTATAAAATTGCTAGGAAAAATCTATTTGTACATACTTTAACTGTGGTCTAAAAGTTATTGGAGGTCTGAAACTTACCTGATTATCTGGACAAAATTTGACAAAACATAAGCTGCAAATTACAGTTTTGTTCTCAATGCAGTGTAATCAAAGTTAGAAAACATTTTGTATTGCATACATAATTATTTAATAGAAGTTTGCTAATAGAACTTTTGGACAAACATTAAGCTAAGGTTACCAAATATTTTCCTGAAGTCATTCAAATTGTTTTTTTCATTATAATACTGGGTCTACCAAATGGTTTTGAACAAACCAATGTTCCATTGACAAGACTGTTTGGTCTCATGGCTTCATAAATCACATGTGAAAAGCACATGATCGATATAACTGCACTTAATGTCAGTGTGAAAAGGATCCAAATTCTTTTCTTCTTCCACACTCTCATGACTGCCATATTGAAATAGTATGACTCAATTTTCAAGGAAAGCACATTAAAGAAAACTTCGATGGCCATGGCAGCTGCTATTCGTTTGGTAGCTGTTTTGCATAGAACGTTTAAGTCACTTCTAATGCCATTCTGATCAGCATCATATAGGTATTGTAGCACTGCCATTGTAGCGCAGCTAATTATAATCATGGCAGGTTCAGTTATCATATTGATAAGCGTCAGGTCTGACATTAGTCTGTTCCTTCGTGGTGTCATGAACTCTGTCATGCTTTGAATCTTGCCATTTAAAAACTTGTGTAAAAGGAAATCTAAGTAAGGAACTGTTGCTCGTTCCAATGTGCAAAGAATTCCAAATATGATAGAGAGAAATGCATAGCCAACGATTTCATCAACTTGAACTTGGAGAGTCCTATACAGCAGAGAAATACCTGTATACATTGCTGTAAGAAGGTAAATTGAGGTGCCTGGATGGTTCACTTTGCCTAATGATTCAACCGTTTTTCTCACAATCATTTTGGGAATGACTATCAAGATTGGAACAAAGCTAGCAAATGCAATTTTTTCAATCTCACCCATATTCTTGAATGCTGGATTTATCCACAGCATGAAAACAATGGCCACTGGTAAACCTATGACAAACTGAGCCATAAGCTGCAATACAACCAACCATTGATTTCCATGTGTTATTATGTTCATTAAGGCAGTAGAAATCTTCAGAGAGTTGAAAGTAGCAATAATTGTGAAAATTCCATATGATGGAAAGCTTTTCCAAAATACATCCTCTCCGTAAAACATTCCATAAAGAGTTTATACATGCCAGTTAGAAGACCAGCAAGGATGTTCCAGCTGATAATATTACTATCTTTTATAAGAGACCATTTAAATATTAGCAGCAGGGTTATCAGATGCCAGAACTGTATTGTAACTGAAGATATCATATCAGATACTATGCGTATTTTAATGATGTAAACAGGAATATGGACGTTGGCAAAATTAAGACCTGAGCAAAGGTCCGACAAGTTTACGTCTAAAAAAACCACCAATGTAAGCAACAGGCCAATGAGGATGCCAGACACGACAGTTGTTTCAAAGACACATCTCAAGCTATGCAGAAATGAAATCCAGTGGGAGGGTCTGCCTGTTTTCCAAGTAAACCGGCCAAGTCTGTCAAATCTCTCGTAATTTGAAGAATCCAGAAGGACAACTGGCTCATACTCACGATAAATTAGATCTTCGATGTTGTATGTTTCAAAGTCTTCTAACTGGTCAATCGATGACATGCTGCCCTCAAGTTGCCGCCTCCGCTCATCTTCTTCTTGCTGTTCAGGACTTCTTACTTCCTCCTCATCTGGTATATCCACAAAATCTCTTTTCAATCTCCTCGCAGACATCTTTGCAATCCAACGTCTTTACAGAATCGATGGTAAAATGATACTTTTGTGTCTTCCGGCAGTCACAAACTAGCAGCCAGACACCTAAATGGAACCAAAAGACTGCATAAACCAGCACCACCAGTCAGGAATGGAAACTGCAACGGGACCAGACCATAGAAGCTGTCAATAAAAGACCGTGCGCATTTTCTGGAAATATGAAAATGAAAAGAACTATTTACAAGAATGTCCCGGAAACCAGCAAACCTGCTGATTTCAAGGAACCTGACTCCGGTTTTGGTGGTTCTTCCGTTTCGCCTCCATTTCATTTATCCTCCACAGTGGCCTTTACAGTCAGTCCTCTCTTGAAATTTCGTTTGAACCTATGGGAGGGGTCGCTAAGTCAAACCAAACAACATAGACGTCAAACATTTAATTTACTCTGCATTTACAATATATTGCTACACCAGACTAATTATTCGAGTTTTTTTATTATAAATTCTTTAAGCCCTATGAAACACCAATAAAGTCAGAACCTATTGGAAATCTTTAGGCCTCGTTCCTTGATAAATCGAGCCTTCGATAACCAGTATCGGGAATAAATAAAAATGTAATTATGCTCAAGATTTCATTCGGCCAATTTCAGTAGCACGGTAGATTAGCTGATAAACTTATCTAATTATGTTGATCCTTTCAAATCAGAAAGTTTAATGAATACATTCATCAGGTCACAATTTAGTTTTTATCCACTTATACGGATTTTTACTAATAGTAGAGGAACTTGTTTAAAGTTGTTAAATCACATTCACGAAAGAGCACTGTGAACGGTACGCAAAAATAATTGCTAATGATTGAAATATTCAAATATTTTTACTGAGAAAAATATTCGTTGCAGCTTGAGAAGGGAAAACCTTTTGCAATTGCCAAAAATAAAACCTAAAGCATATAGAATAGAGAACTTTCCATACAGAAGTCAAAATACTTTCTAATTCCTAGGAAGGGTAACATTTTGGCATGGAAATTCTTGCAACTGCAGATTGAGAAAAATTTCCATTAAAGTTTTAAAGTATTTGTAGGTTTTTAGGGTATTTGTTGTTAAGTTAAACAAATGTAAATTAAGATATTTATTTTCAATATAATTTGTTTTCGATAATTAGTTTATTAGCTCTATATATTTATATATATATTAATTTGTATTGCCGTCATGAAAGAAACTGATAATAATAATAAAAATTATAATGATTATCTCACATTTTGCTTAACCCAATAATAGAGCCTCGACTTGCAAGGTTAACCGCAAAAGAAAGCGGTCTTTGCTCATGCTAGAGTCACATGAAAGCCAGCAGTTGGCGATGACAAATCACGTTGAAACACGAACGTGGTTTCGAATTTGTTTGGACGAATTCTGCTTTATCTATCTCAGTTTCAATTTTATCGTTGCTTGTTGACTCAATCAGTTGTACCTCACTGTTTTGTATGGTCGTGCTAGCTAAAAGTTGTCTTAAAAGTCGAGACTGTGGTCTTGAAATCCAAACTTAGTTGCTTGCTGGTGTAGAAATGCTTTCTATAAAAAGTTAATTAAAAGCTTATGATCATCCGTATCATAACCATCATAACAAACATATCTTCAACTGTGTTGTGATGTTGTTGTGAAGAAAGTTGTCAAGTAGAATTCATTATATTGGTAAAATTCAAAATATTCAACTCTTTTTCCTCTCATTAAATTCAATATATATGACTAGCAAAATATTATAATCAGATCTTAGAATTTATGAAGACACGCTATGATAACTTTTATGTTCATAACGCTACCAATGTTCATCCCTGTTTCCCCCAAAGCATCTATGCCCTCCTAACCCCACTAGATTGCACCCTTTGGAATAAAATTAGCTGCATGAGGCGATATAAAAGTGTTTTTTACTTGTCACCGGTGCTGCACTGGCTCTAATAATCGGGTTCTATGGTCTAAATTTGAGGAGAATGAGTGAAGGCATAAAGGCATTGAGTTTCCAATTCGCATGTTCGAGTGGCTCTTTTTCTATATTTTAAAAGATCCTAAAGCACGGTCAAATTTCTTACTAGATACTCGTTTTGAAGGAAGAATATATTTTTAGCTGAATTATCCAAGCTTGTGATTCAAATGTACACGGAAGTGGACATTACGTTGTATTGAATAATAGATGACTCACGAATACGGTGAATTATACATTGTGACTATCTGATGAGAAGTATGACTGTATAACCAGACCCGTGATCAAGTTCCCATGGCAAGTTTCCCCCACCCTTCAAATTTTGTTTGAAGCTCGATGCTTTCCACTTTTGGATGAAAAGCGACCCTCGCGTGTTCTGATATACCTAGTAGTCAATCTAGTGCAACATTCTCAAAGAATATCCATAAAGCAGGTTGCATTTAGTTTAGGTTTGCATGTAAATTTTTATTCAAATTTATTGTTATCTATTTCAAATAATACTTGCGGTTGTACTGATAGTAATATTATACCATTAACAAATCTTTCTGCTTGTTATTAAACACGGTTGCTTTATTGCCAATGTAAAAGAGGGGTCTGTATAAAAAACAATTTAGCTCTAGCGATAGTTTTGCATGCTACAGGGTATTATGATAAAAATTGGTGCTAGGGACGCTAGGGATTTTCCTTATGGAATCGGGGGTAGTTGCCCCCAAAACAGCCACAATTACTGTCACTTTCAAATGTACTGTAGTTGAGTGTTAGATACGAACATAGAGGATCGTCCAGTCAGTAATGCCTGTTAAACATTTCATCCTAGTTTCGAGAGCTAACGAACACAGACAAGAATTATAAGCATGTCGGGGCAATGGTATTCAACATGTATAAGTAAGTTTACTTGCGATTTTATTTCCATTACAATCTCATGTTATTTTTTCTTCGTCCAGCGTTGTTCATCGCACCGAGAAAGAAAGCTCTGAGGGAGAAGATTTTTCAATCACAAATTGTAAAGTTGAAATTCCCATGCGATAAGTTTAATGTCGTATAAAAGTTTGCATTGTTCTAGTAGAGCTGGATCTTGTAACCAAAGATCTTTGATAAGATATTTGCCAAAATTGTAGTCTTGCTTCGAGATTATTTTTATTAGCCTTTGGGTTTTGGCTCTATTCTGCTTTGTCCAAGTTTTGCCCTCAGCAAAGTAAACCAGACTCTATTGAAAGAGTAAAGATGTGTTATTGCACCACTAAGAAAAACATAATTCTCTTCATAAGAATTTAGATAAGAAACGAAATTATTTTCACCTTTATTCAAATTTTTCAGATGGTGGAATTAATTGAAAATTTCATTTAAATGCCCTAATTAGACTTCAGGGTGTGACCCTGAAGATATGTATGTATTTTGTTTAATTAGTTGACCTTAATTTGCCTGTAAGCTATATATTTTTAACTGCCAACTTTAAATCAAGGAATAAAAAATAATAATAATGAAAAAGGGATCTTCTTATCCCAGAAATGTCATCCCTTGCTTTGTGTTTTACACTTTTAGTTAAATCCGATGTAATAGATATGGTTTTTTTAATTTTTTTCAATCGTTTTTGGATGTTATACACAAGTTTATATTTTCAATTTAGGAGCTCCTTCCAAGAACCTGATGTAAACGAAGGATTTGAGGAAGTTGTCAAGGTGAACTTTGTACCAAACTTTACTGACAAAACCTTAGAGCAGCTCTATTTTCAATTCCTTTAGACTTCGAATAGGACTTTTATTTAATCGTGGAAACTCTCTAAAAATTGGATTTTTGTTTATCGGAGTCACTCACAAATATCCTTATCTGCCTCATTCATTGTTATACTTCAAGTAGATTGGATAATCTGTGCAATATCAAATAAAATAGTCCCGATTGGGCAGTAATCCTGCACACACAGCAATTTGGCTAATGAGCCTCTTTGGCTTAATATACCAGTAGGCGATGCTAAAGGAACACAACAATCCGTATAATGATCCCAGATTAATCTTGGATTGATCCCAGATTGATCCTTGATTGGAAAAGTTACGACCAACTTTTCTTTAGGTTTTCTTCTTCACAATGCATATCCTAAAGGAAATTACTGAATTCTTGGCTATTCAATGGTAAAATCTGTCATGAAAATTAAAAAAGCAAGTTAGAGGGTTGTCAAAATCTATGTATCTGATAAATAGTTACAGACAGCTGATCGTACTAAAAAGTGAAGACCTATAGCTTTTTTGAAGCTCATGTACAGCACGTGAAAGTGATTGAAATTATTTGCCATAGCTTGCATAGAGTAATTTTGATGTTCATCAAGATCTGGAATATTAGTACCTCTATATGCAGCAACACCTCTCTTGAATTGGCAGAATCTCTATTATATGTCAGACAAAACCAAACCCTGTATGTGCAATGATTCAGCACATACTTTGAAGTTATTCTCTCAGCAAAAGAAACGACACTTTTATTGGTCTACTTTTACTTTTCATATCATTTCAACAATTCTCAACTAAAACCAACAAAATTTATAAAAATCATCAAAAATGGTACAAAATGCCAATTTACCGTCAACTTTGCCAATAACTATTTGATTTGATTTAATAATTATAAAATGCATTTTCCCTGTTTTCTTTTGAGCTAGAAAAGGGATGTATTCCCGAGATTCTGAAATCTTCTTAAACTTGTCAGCCAGGCAACTTTTGGTATTGCTTAAAAATGTCAAAAATTTGCAAATTTATGTGCACTTTTCATTCGCATTCTCTCTTTATTGTGATAAAGTCTGGATTTTTTAAATTGAAAGTTTGACCAAAGCAACAACACTTCAAATACATTGACCTGGTGTATCATTAGTTGATCTAAATTTTGCATCAAATATTTTAATTTATGTCAATTTTTGGGTCTGTCACTTATTAACTACTCCTAGTAACTTTTATCAACGTTAGGACTGAACTTTGTTGGTTAAAATACCCGGTTTAAAGCTAAAAAACCGTATTTTGTTTTTTCTTCAATTTTTTCGAGATTCAATTCGTATTTTACCGTGGCTGGGAGATTGCCATTTCATTTTTCTTTTGACACTGTTTAAACAGAATTCCCTTTCTTTCTGTTTACTATTTTGCCAATATCTTTACTTCATTTGCTTAAGCTACCGTCGACAAACTTCATAAGTAGCTAGAGTTTGAAATATATTCAAAATTTACAAAATTAGAAAAATAGCTACCATCTTGCAAAATATGTTTAATGTTTTTACCTATGTGTCCCTACTATTCGGAAGAATTTCTTTGATCTCCTGATTTTTCCATTTTTGGCTTCAAGTAACCCTGGGGTGATGTGCCATCGTAAAAGACTCATTGCTCGGCAGGCTAGGTCTATTTCCTTGCTTTTCATACCTTGAAAATCTCCATAAAAGTTCAAAATTTTGTACTCCCTTTTGAAATCCTTCCCTCCTATAGCAATAAAACAGTTAAAATCTCGCTTAACATCAGGACAAAAAAATACTGTAAATGTGCCATCAGCATTCTCTGCCACGTGTGCAGAAACAATACTTTGATCAGGGCATATCATGCGTAACTGAACATCGCATGTTTTGTTTTTATAATCTTTTACGCCATATTTCAATACATTAATCCGTTCACCCCTTTCTGTTGTAAGCTGCGTGAATCCTTCATATGGTGGCGTTCTTGTGCCTTCAAATTCATAAGTCGTTTGTTTTATCTCTTCATAATTACTTGTTAATCGTTCGTTCGATGTTCCTGTTTTGGTGCTTACAGGGACATCCTTCGTTTCTTTTTCCTTTTTTCTATTGGCCTTTGTTCTTGGCCGAGGTTTGTCTCTGTGCTGGTCGACTTCATTTTCTTCATCAGAAAACCTTCCACCCACAGGAGTTTCATTTTCTTTTGTTATTCTGTCCGTATTTACTCTACTTGTCGGTGACCATGATTGCAATCGCTCAGCATGCCTGTCCGATTCGCCATATTTTTCATCATTCTTCTTCTCTCGAAACTCACCCTCCCCCAATTTTTCATCATCAATTCTTTCAATGAATATCTCTCCACCACTTTTTCTGTCCAAAATATCTATCCGACCATACTTTTCTATTTTATTTTCTATCTTGTGATTTTGGGGACGAAAAACGAAATCGTAATCAATGTCAAGGAATTCTGATGTTTGCAAATCAAGAATTTCGCTCATCCTTTCACTTATTGTAGCTTGCATTTGAAGCATCTCAACACCATTTTGATGATTTTTAAGCTCTTTCAAAAAGTCATTCAAGTTATCTTTTTGAAGCATTGCAGCTTCAACACTTTGTCGGCGCTCTGATAGTGCCTCGTACGTAATCCTGTGTTTTTCCTCAACATCTTTATATAATTGAGTCTCGCGTTCTTTTAATTTTGCAATCAACCTCTCTATATTTGCTTTTATTTCCTGACGCATCTCAGCCAACTCTACATCAACCCCTTGCTGCATTTTCTCAATTTTTAATAGCTCCGATTCATAATCATGCTCTCCCTCAAGCCTCTTTGCTGCATCCCGTACTATTTTCCTTCCAGCCATGGCTGCTTCGCTAACAGCCCCGCAATCGTGATTAACCCGTTTGTGCTTTTTCTTCGCACATTTCGGACAGATCGACACGTCACAGTCTAAACAATAATTACTAAGCTCTTCTTCTGGGTGCTTCAAACAATAATATTTCCTTTGCATATTTTCTATGTTTTCTGTAGAGTCAACCTCTGATAATGTGTGGTGTTTGTTTGACTCATATTTCATGTGTCTATCTGCACATTTCTTGCAATACCGTTCAGCACATTGATAGCAAATAAGTTGTGACTTTATCTCTTTACCACAATACCGGCAACCGTCATCTCCACATTTGTCTTTTAGCATTTTCTTTAGAATAACGAAATTTGGACAAAACAGCTCTTCATCTTTCTCAGATAGCACGTTTCGGGCCCCACACAGAGGGCAGCCAAATATCTCCCCGTCACTGTCATCTATAAACCTTGTTATACAATCTCTGCAGAACGTATGTGAACAAGACAGAAGAATTGGGAATTCGTATTTATTTTTGCACCCATAGCAGACGTCATATCCCAAATCATCCAAATTAAGTTGAAAAAGTGAAAAAGTCTCTTTAGTTTTCAATAGTGCCAAAACATTTGACAACAACTTTTTCCAATTTCGCTCAGCTCTTGAGCCTCCATTGCCTCTATCTTTCTCATCATTTTCACTCTTCTCTTTTATTTCAATGTCTTCTTTTTCTCTGAATCCATCTGAATCTATTTTACCTTTCAATACCTCATAAACAGATTTCTTCCCTAAATCCCTTCCTTTCAATTTGTCACCTAACTTTTGCCAGTTTTCCAAAGCCCTGTTTTTTTCTTCTTCATTGCTACTTCTTTTTTGCTGCTCGTTCAAGCGTTCTGCAAGAGTTTCACGAATGTTTCGCGGTTTTTTCTCACTTGCTTCCAAAATTGCTTTAGTTAACCTTTTCCAGTTTTCTAAAATCCTTTTTTCATCTCTTTTATCACCACTTTCTTTCTGCTGTTCTTTTAGTCTTCCTGCAAGAGTTTCGCGAATATTTTGCGGTTTTTTCTCACTTGCTTCCAAAATTGCTTTAGTTAACCTTTTCCAGTTTTCTAAAGTCCTTTTTTCATCTCTTTTATCACCACTTTCTTTCTGCTGTTCTTTTAGCCTTCCTGCAAGAGTTTCGCGAATATTTTGCGGTTTTCTTTCGCTTGCTTCCAAAACTGCTCTTGTCAACTCCCTCCAGTTATTCTCTGCCTTCTTCGATTGTCTTGTTCTTTCGCTGTGTGTCATTTCATTTTTGCTATCTTTTCTATTTACTCCGTTGCTCATTTTTTCTAGAGAATCTTCTTCCTTTTTTACAATATCACTTAATATCACAGCAACTGTTTTCATTTCACCCTTGTTTCTCTGAAGCATTTTAATTCTAATCCTTTTCCAATGCTGCATAGCTCTGCTGTTCACCTCATTGTTTCCCTCTGAAAGCTTCGATCTTTTCTCCTCAAGTTGCTCAAAAATCTTCCTTGCATAACTTTTTCCATTATACTTTGTCAGGCAGCTCTTGACCAGGCTTTCCCAGTGAGTTACGACTCTTTGTGGAACTTCCTCCACACTGCTACTGTCTGAATTACTGCTATTACGCTCTTCCCCGATATTTCTTTTACCATTTCCCAACATGCTGAGTGCTGTTTTTACACCTCCTAGCTCTCTCTTGTCTTTATCAAGTATCTTAGCAGCCAACTTCTTCCAGTTTCTAACTGGCCTCTTTAGCCCATCATTTGTACTAGATGATTCTCCATAGATGCTTTCACTTTCATCATTGGAACCCCTTTTGTGAAGTGCATATCCCTCCGCGAACTTTTTAATGTCTGGAAACTTGTCTTCATATTTTTCAAGTAGCTTACACACAATCTTTTCCCATTTTCTCACAATTTCTATGCTGAGCTGACTGTCATTTTTATCTGCTGTTTTCTCGTCAAAGGACCCCGCTGTTATTTGCTTTACAAACTCTGCAATATTTCCAGAGCCAACTCTTATTTTGCTCAAAATCCTTCTCCAGTTTTCAGTTGCGCTATTGCTCATTTCTGTTCCACTTAATTCACTATCATCCCCATCAGAATAAATTTCTTCAGCATTATCCTCCATTATACTACTGAATTTTTCTTTTAACAGTGTTCCTGCTAAGGTAGTTTCTTTTATTCCTTCCAGCAAGCCAGATACTAGTTTCTCCCAATTCTTCAACGTCCTTTCGTTCATTTCTTCCTTCAATTCACCAGAAAAGTAATCGTTACCAAAACTTTCTTTTCGAATAAGTTTCTTAAAGCTCGTTACTGGATTTGCTTTATCCATAACTTTAGAAGCAAGTAGTTGCCAGTTTTCTATGGCTCTTGAATTTATTTCATTGTCACCTTCCATCGAACTCCCTGTGGGTGAATTGACGTCATCATAACTTTCCGCTATATGTTCTCTGCTAACAATCTCCTTTAATGCTTTTGAAGTGAATAAATCAGACGTGTCCTTCAAATTTGCAGCCAGTGTCCTCCAGTTCTTTAACGCCCGTAGTTTTTTTTCGCCTTTATTTTCATTATCTTCTCTTTCTTCTTTGTGATCTTTGTTTTGGAGCATTTTATTCACCAGTCTTCTCCAGTTTAGCACAGCATCTTTACTTGTATACCCTCTCGAGCTGTTTTCAACTTCTTCTGGTTGGTCATAATCATCATCAGAGCTCAGCACAAGCGGCATAGCTAAATTTCTTTTGATTGATTTTCTCATCCTCTCTATATGCATCTTATCATTTTGTCTTGTATCTTGAGTCTCCTCATATTCTTCAGAATCCGAGTCCGCCATTAATGACGTCAGTTTGAACTTGATAGGAGGGCTTTTGTTCTCACTCTTCTCCTTTGAGCCTCCAGTTTCTGCTTCTTCTCCATCACTCTCAAGAACGTCGACAAATTCGTCTCCATTTTTCCCTCGCAATTCATCCTTTTTGGGCTTATCACTTACGCCTAGTTTTGCGTCCTTATTTTTCTTAGAAGTGGGATTACCTTTAGCTGACCCTTGTCTGCTGTCTGTTGTACTTTCATGTGTATTCTTTTGGCCCATTTTGAAAAATGTCTTCCAGGTTCGTTTCTTGCTGCTCTCTATAATCTCCACGCTAGATTCAGATGAAGCCGAAGTCACTGACGTGAATGAATCTTCCCTGTTAAATTCATCTTTTCCACGACGCATATTTGATAACAGGAGCTTAACCGTTTCTTAGGCCTAAAAACATAAGTGAAAGCCATGGTTAATTCTTGTATATTATATCACCGTACGTTGATCTGAATAACCGGAACAATTCGCATCAGAATGTAGCATTAGTAGACTGCAAAAGTCCTAGTTTATTCCTCTAACAATCAGCTGCAATGATCAAAGAGACTTGGCTGCCAGTCGAAGGCCCTGTCACGAAGTTTAATCAATCTGGTCGTAAGAAAATCAATTCGATATAGACACTGGTATCTCGTAATTATACATCCGTGTTTATTCTTCGATACCCTTCAGCATCTTTGCTGTCCTTCATTGAAATCGTGCTTTTCTATTTTATCAACTCTTGATCAGATTTGAAGCTGAAGATAAATGCTAAACTGTTATTGACACTTTCATTTACTGCAATCCTGCTCTTTTTTTTAATTTGAGAGATAAACTTTCTACTCCATTAGCCTAATGCTCTACCATTGGAAACTTCGTCAGGTTGCTTGCAAGACCCGCTTAGGTATAAAACAAAAACCACTGACCTTGTAAACTTGAAGCCTTGGACTCTGCTTACACATTAGTAAGTTAACATTGTTTGGGCGTTTTTGCAAATTGTCAATCTAACAACACCAATAAACGCCATAAATATGTCATTTAGTTGAATGTTTTCCTCCTTCCCCCATCTCTTTTGAATGCAATGTGAATGGACGGAACCTATTGCTGTATACAATGACCTGTCTGGTTTGAGAAACACCTGTTTTGTATAGCAAATGCTACCCTACACATTAACGTTTTCCTGCAGGTCGATAGTCGTTGCGTCATAATGATACAACGACAGCACGTTGAAGTAGTGGTATGCAGCAGTGTTCTCTACGGAAACGTAGTTAATAGAGTTTATTAATTGATTACTTTGACTTTGATCCAATTTACTTGATAAGTATCAAGTAAAACCTCTAGATTGGTAACATCAGTGAACTTTGAAACAAATTGGTTGAGGTACAGCCACATTAGCCTGGGTCACATGAGCGCAGACTCTTTTCTCCATCAAGTTGCTGTAATTTTTTCATGGTTCTAGACTTCATGAACCACTTCAAAATAACCGAATCCGATAACACACATCAAAATTCTCATTATACATACATGAGCAGTATGGAATGCGAGAGCCTTACCTTGCTTGGCGCCATTTTAGTTCTAAGCACGAGTGCGCATGTTCATCGTTAAAACAAACCAGGGTTCGCCCCAGGCTCGCATATAGACTACAAATTGTCAAACTAACCCGGAATGGTTTTATTCCAACCCACCATAAGAGGCGGGTTAGTTTAATCCACGACGGATCCATTTTAACTTGACTGTACACTACGATAAAGTAAACCGGGTCAATTTAGCCCCGGGGCAAACCCGAGTCAGTCTGTGTAGTGTTTATAGGGCTCTAGTTGCGTACAAAGTTCGACAAATAACCCTTAATGGCATATCTATTTTGAAGCGTTGGCCTGCCTCTTTACTTTATCTAACATGACCTTACGTGCTCTTTTGAAGTTTTCTTGCTGTTGGCCAGATTTCGTACACCCAACATATCATCGCTGCCGTTTTTTGCTTGTTTTTTGGGCAACAACAAAAATCAAGTTCTCCTTCTGTAAGACGTAAGACATTTCTTTGCACTACGTAGATCAGCATAATACGGGGGGTAATCATATCTATATAGCCCTTATTTTATCCTCATTTCTGTATTGTCAAAATCCTTAAGATTTTTTAAAGTGATTGACAATTTTGGTTGTTCTTTGTATAAGACACTGGTTGCTGTTGGATATTTATGCTATTTCTTAAACGATTATTGTTAAAACTATAAATACTCTCTAGAGTTCGAGAGTAGATTTATGGACAAGGAAATAACAAGGTGTTTGATCAAGGCTTTGCAGCGGCTTTACAGTCCTAGTCATTTCACAGTCTTATGTACGGTTTGCGGCTTTGATGACCTAAGGTGACATATAACATTGTATTGGGGAAATATTTGATAACAGCTTGAAAAAAGATTTAAAAATAAAAAAGCTGTTATTTTGTCCAGTCGTATATTAGGTCTGTGGTGTTACACATTGCCGAACTGAACAAGGTAAAAAGGCAAGAAAGACAAGATGGCTGCCTTGTTGGCTTTGATGGCAACTGCAACACTTTTATGTTTGAATATTGAAATGACGTCTGGAAGACCGGGTGAGTATGATTCACAATAACTGTTAAATGCGTTTGGCTTGTATTGCCTGTAGCTGCTACGTGCTACAGCGACTGCCACAGTTTTGAAACATTTGCATCAAACCTTGCAAACATGGTCAAATTCAACAATCAACTTTGAAACGTTAGTTTTCTTCAAAATGACGTATCAAAGGAAGTTTGTTTTTCATATGACTTGTATAATATTTATTTAGGCTAGAAACTTTTAGGGGGGATAAGCGGAAGTTGTAATATTGTGTAACAGAAGTGATACAATATTACAAAGGACTAGAGTTATTGATATTTGGTGTTTCAATGCAAGTAATTTACATATGCAAGCATCGGGGCTCCGCTCAGTCTAAAGGAAACAACCACTTCATCACAACGAGCTTGAGGTATTCTGTAGAGCCTGTCTAAGATATAAACAGGTGCGGGCACTTGGTGAAATATTGAAGGGGGGGGGGGGGCAAGCCTGTCCTTGCTCAAAAAATATTCTTGGAGGAGTTTCTAATTATATTGCTAAGACTAAATAATAGAGACTCTAGTAACCATGATACGTTTTTACGTGGGTCTTTAAGGAAATTGTTGCCGTCTTGTAACCAAACTATCTCCATGTCTTTTTTCATGTAACAACGGATGTCCATTTAATTTCTTTATATGATACACTAATTGTTTTTAAAAGAACCTCTCTATGAGAAACGAGTTCTCCCATACTTGACCTGATGGGATTTGCCACGGAAAAGGGTATCCTTTTCCTATAGAAGTTGTTGGGCAGGGTATTATGAAAGGCCTCAAAATGTTGGGATAGGGCATCGAAATTAAGATAATTTTACCCTGGGTACCAGAGCCTTGTGCAGGGGCGGCGCCATTGGGTGGACTGGGGTGGACATGTCCACCCTACTTTTTTAAAAAAATCGATTTTGTAATTTTCCAAAACTGCATTAAAAACATAGGGGGATGTAAGTTTCCTTCTCTGCGATTATAACTTTTTTCATTTGATGGTCAGTTACGGTTCTTATTCAGTTGTAAGCTGACATTGAGAATGGTGTGTTGGATCATCAGTTCCCTAAATAGTGAGAAACTAAAATGAAGATGATCTATAAAACACAGATTTTTCGTGCTAAACAGTTGGTTCTCAGAGTGTGGTCTTCCTTCCTTCCTTGCCTTCCTTCCTTCCTTGCCTTCCTTCCTTGTTAAAGGTTTTTGGCAATAATTAACTTTAAAACTTTTACCCAAACTTTTTTAAGCTGTAAGGATAGTATAGTTGCAGCCCCACCTGTTGTAGCTGCATCTCCTTTGAGCCTCAATGTCTGGCGAAAGGTTGGGAAACCTTGTTCAAATAAGCATCGATCGAGATATGGCAGATGTAATAGGCAAAGGAGTCTCGTTAATAAGTTCGAAACCATTGATTGCTAAAACATACCACTCTGAAATTAGCTTTTATGTTATTAGCTTTTATGTGTGTAAATCTTTGCCTATGCAATTTAACTCTTCTATTGAGGGTTTCAAAATTTGTCAAACTTGGTTATCAATAACGAGCGCGATTTCTCGTACGGTGTTGCATCGGTTTCTAACCCAGACCCCTTTATCAGCTCCACCCCTTCATTGTCCATCCCACCCCTTCATTATCCATTAAGGGCTGGCGCCGCCCCTGGCCTCGTGAATCCGGGGAAAAAGTATTGTAGACGGCTGCGGTGGCAAAAATGAGTGAATGCAGAGGAGGGGAAGGAAATATTTCTGTGACTACCGTAAAAGCTCTATTAAGCCCCCGGGAGGCTTATTCATTTTCTCCCTTCCTAGAAGGGGGCTTAAAAGAGAGTGGGCTTATTAAAGAGAGGGGGCTGATTGAAGATTTGAAGCAAAAAATGTTTTAAAAATGCCCTTGGCCATTTTTTGTTATGAAAATGTCATACAAATGTTCTCAAAAAACTTTGCTAGCAGCTTCGAAAGCTTAATCAATCAATTATAAGGTCCTCATCTTCATCAACATCACCAGGATTAATTGAAAACCCTTTGACATCTTCAAAACAAATTTGACTGACTAAAGCACAAGTAAGTCTTTACATAGGCCGTATTTAATGCACACGATCTTATCATCACCACACCAACTAAATGCGCATGCTTTCTATGTTTGACATCGAAGGCTAAAGAGGGGGTGGGGCTTAATAGAAAGGAGGGGCTTGTTTAAAGTTCTTGCTTGATAAGAAGGGACTTAATAGAGAGGGGACTTAATAGAGAGGGGGCTTAATAAAGAGGGGGGACTTAATAGAGAGGGGGGACTTAATAGAGCTTTTACGGTAGTTTCAAACTATACCCTTTAGACTAAATAATGGAGACTCTGGCACTCAGGGTAAGAAAATCTGCGAGGAAGAAATATGTGAGAACAGATTACTCTGTTTTTAGAGGTTTTAGAATGAGCATGTTTAAGCTACATTTTCGTAAATATCACGAGATCGGGTATATTTTTGCCTAAGTGCTCTGTAAATTGGCACACTTTTTATGGGACAGGGTCAGGGTGCAAAAAAATTATTTAAGCCATCAATTCAAAAGCGTTTAATTCTATTGGCTTTAAAAGTTTTGTTACTCCCCTTGCTTTAAACGTCACCAGAACTTCGGGAATTAAATGTGGTTTCTTTTGAGGTTAAAGATGTTTCAACAGGGCTCATCCTCATAGCGGTTGAGTAATTATTTTTTAACCGTGTGTTATTCTTTATGTCAATGCAAAGATGAATTCCATGCTTCTGTTTGCTTTTAAGAAGTTTGAAATAAGCAAACGGTGTGGTGGCACTTGCCTTTTTGTAAAATAAGAAATTAAAAATGTCCTTGCTATCACATGGGCGGCACCAAAAAGGCGCTGTGGGCTGAATTTTAAACGATTGTAAGGAAATGAGACCAAAAAATATTCTGAAATGTATATTAATGGGTTGGTCCCAAAAATTTCTGCTCACTTCGCTTAAAAGTAGCCTCCTGGACATTTTCCCTTCATTTTCAATTTCTTGACGCCAATTTTAATTTCTTGATGCTAAATAATAATCAATTTTCCTCCTATTTACATAAACAAAGGCTTGTCCCTTTCACCTTCGACATAATATAGAGACAGAGGTTTGTCTCCTGGGCCGTTGAAAGCCAGCTCGGGGCCCGGGAGTCGTTTAGTGAAGTGGAATTAGATATAAAAACGGTCTAACCCGGATAAAAATAATATAAAGCTGTAATTTGGCACAGATGTTCTATACTAAGTTGGAAATGACCAGAAAAAAAGCCCCATCAATTGGACATTGGGAATTCCTTATTTGGGCAAATACCATAATGGCGCACTGATCAGTAGTGGTTCAAAATTTTAATGTTGCTAAAACCATATGTATGGAACCTATGTCCCAAATTATAGCTTTTTATTATTTTTGTCCGGGTAAAATCGTAATTCCACCACAAAAATTCATAAAGCTTGGCCCGGCTACTTGAAAGTTAGCGGTCTGGAGCAAAGGCTACTTCCTGGTAGCTCCGATTTAATTTTTCATGAAATGAATGGCTTTGCTCCCATTTATGCGCTATGCTCCTTTTTCATGAGCCAAATTTGAGCAATTCCTGATGTATTTGCGTGCATTGGAATTACGAAAGTATTGGAAATATTGATCTAAACTTTTCAAACCTTTATGAAACAAGAACACCTTGGTCACATCTATGAGATGTTTTCCTTACAAAAGAAATGACGTCTTTGTATTGTTTATGTTTCCTTTCATTTCATAATATTTAGAGATGTAACAATCCTTTGAATTCTTAGTATCCAATCGCTTAGGATATTAATTTTTTTTGTTTCCCATTAGTTAATGGAAACATCATTTCGGTTATTTATATGAAAATTCCACTTGTTTCAAACTTCAATTTGTACTCTCGAAAATTTCCAAATTACTCATGATTTGCCAGTGTTTGCACCTGCCTTTTTTCGTAGAGTCACTCACAGAGCAGTTCTGTCTTTAATCATTAAATTTCTTTATTAAATTATTAATAATAATTATTATTGTTATCATTATTAGATAATAATTTGGAACTGTTATCTCCAAAATTATTATTTATAAATAATTATTATTATTATTATTATTATTAAATAATAATAATAATTTGGAAATGTTATCTCCAAAGTTCTTTCGATATCATTGAATTAAGTAAATCATATTTCTTGCTGAGATTCCTGCAAAAATATGAACACATTTTTCGCATTTGGAACAGAATCTGGACCCTCCACAGCTAAAATGAAAATGTAAGATGTACTAAATGACCCAGTTTCGACAATAGCAAAACGGCTTAGTTTAGCTTGAGATTTATTATAGACAATGAAAAGGTTTCATCTTTCCCAAATCAACAACAGCCAATGGCGAAGAAGTGCGTTCAAAGAAATGGATGCTACCAATCATATAATTTCCGTTCTTAAGCTACCACTTGAGGTTTATAAAAACACTACCATTTGAGGGTAATTTTTAACATTATAGCTTTGGCCCTCATTACCCTGACTGGACCCCGCTGTTAGGCCATAATGGGAGTAACCCCCTCCCCCCTGGGTCATGAATTAAGCACTATAATCAGCATTTCACTTGAATTTATCTGATTATTACAATTGGCCGGCTTCAGGGGCACATTAATGAAAAGAGCACTGTCACCCCTCTTCCCCCTCCTATAAAAAGGCAACAGGGATGGTTGAACCCCTGCCCTCCCCTTCTCCGGCATCCCTGCTTAGCGGTCATATCTTTTCTATGACTTTAGGTTTCCCTTTTCTTAAATTACATTCCCTTATCTTAATAGTTTTAGTATTATTTGCCTCACATTCTTAATAGTCATTTTTTCAATACTTCAGCATTATTACATTGGGAATCTTTTCATATTCTGTTTTTTCATGCAAAGGTAAAGCTGTCTTCGAAGGCGACATGGCTTTCACAACTGAGCAAATCGAGATTGTCAAGGAATCGATCAAGACAAAAAAGGATATCGAGGAGGTGGCTTCAGTAAAATACGCAGCTACAAACGCGGCTTTTCCGAAGTGGACCAATGCAATTATGCCATATACACTTAGTTCTTCATTAAGTAAGAACAAATCTTCATATTCTTCGACATTTTGCAAAGTTATCAATTTTTTTATCATCAGGACACTCTGTATGATAAAGAGACTGTTCTATTTTCTTTTTATTCTTCTCTGAAAAAATCGAAGAAAATATGCATCTCTTATGATTTCCTTGTTTAATTTCGTTATTGAGCTTTGTCAGCTTATCAATACTTGATACTTCATACAACATGTATTCAATTATGCATTTATTTTTCAAACCTAAGAATTGTGTATCCGTGTTATAGAAGTTGAGTTAATGCTTTGCTATCTAAATTCTCGATTTTATTAAAGAATATACTTTGTGCATTTGAATATGCTCTGTTTGTGTGGTTTGCAAATCCACGTGAAGTTCCCAACTTAGGACAAAGCATTCTCTCTTCATGCAACACAATATTCCGTCTATCAACTTGATATCACTTTATTTACTACCAAGTTCTTTTTTCCTTATTTCTTATTTATGAATCTTTAATACAGAATTTTCATACCTTGTTACATATTTAGTTTCGATGAGATCGTTAGGTTACTGATCTACGTTTAAACATTCGGCCTGTTGGTGGACCATATTTCAGTAACTTCTACAGGCTCATTTAAACTGATTATTTCTTACAGGTTCAAGGGCACGTTACGCCATAAAACAAGGTATGGATGAATGGGAAGGAGCAACATGCATTCGTTTTAAGAAACGAACCACCGAGAGGAGCTACGTGGAGTTTTTTCCTGGCAGTGGGTCGGTTATCTCGCACTTTAATCAAATTTTTTCTTGTTCATTTTAATCTGTCAACTTTTCTTGGCCAAATTTTGACCCCGTGCAACCTTTTGGTGAGCTTAGAATTTACAATAGCTAAGCTTTTGTAAAAAAAATATGAAAAAACCATATCACTGGAAATGCCTTCTAGCATTGATTTACCACTAAAAGATATATTTTATCTCACTAATCAACCTATCTTTTCCCTGCCAAAATGTTGATGTGAATTTATTAAATTCGTCGATAAAGGAGAATTCATTTTCGCAAATACGTACCTTTTAGCAGTTTGTATCCCTGTGCCCAGGTTGAAAATTTAGTGTCAAGTTTAACTTTAATGCTGTCTTGCCTTAATTGCAATAATTTTTTAATTTCAATACATGAGTAAATTTATTGATTGAATATAACGAACTAATATAATCTCTGCATTCTTCAAGATGCTGGGGTCACGTTGGAATGACTGGGGGAAAAAGTCAGATTTCTGTTGGACCAGGCTGTGAACATCGTCATGTAATGACTCACGAAATTGGTCATGCGCTTGGATTTTTCCATGAACAGAGCAGGACAGATCGCGATAGTTATGTCACCATTGTCTGGAACAATGTACCAAAAAGTAATAATTTGTTTATACTCTTTTTTCTAAAATCTATTATTACCCTTAAGTACTCAGTCGGCTTTGGAATTGAATGATAAACCCAAACTTTGAGAACTCAGTGTGTCATAAACCCAAACTTTGAGAACTTAGTGTGTCAAGGGAAACTATTGATGCTGAAAAAAATACATCTAGTCACTTTTTAATAAATTTGCTTCTTTCCAGCTAACCAGTTTCTTTTGATCATTTAGAAACTCACCATGGTCACCAGTGCTTTCCAGAGTTGCTCGTAACTGGATACGATTGATTAATTCAAATTTCTTCATTAACTGCGAGATATTCTCAAGACGCTGCTATTCACAAATTCCTGAAATGAGTGTTCATAATGTGGCATCTAAATATATGTTATCAGCTTAGTGCCTTTAAGTAAATTGAAAATGCATTTGGCTGCGGTTTTTAATCAACACTTCAACAAAGTTTTAAAAATCAAATCACTTCACGCAGTCGTCTAGATCTGTGTGATATAAGTATCTTATTTTAAATCTTCCTGCTGGAATCTTTAGTGTCTTAAGTTGTCTTTAATTTGTCCTAAATGCGCAAAGGTTGTCTTAACTGTTCCTAAGTTGTCTTGACTTTAAGCTTAAGTTGTCTTAATTGAAAAATGTAACAAAAACTAAAAATTTTCATTGTACTTTTCTATCAACTCTACATAAACTTAAGGAAGTATGCAAAGCTTTGCTAAAATGGCATCGAACACTTTATGACAGACTGGTAAACAGTTATTTATCATAAACTTTAAGAATAGGCAGTAGAAGATGTAGGTTCGTCATATTTTCTCAGATTTGCACAGTGCTTTTGAGAAGTATGGCAGAGACAAACTCGACTCACTTGGGGAACCTTATGACTATGGTTCAATTATGCATTACCCATGGAATGCCTTCTCAACAAATGGAAGGAATACTCTTGTTCCTAAAAGAAGAGTTCCGCAACAGCCTTACGTAAGACTCAGCAAGTCTGACGCAATACAGGCTAGTCGAATGTACAAGTGTGGTAGTAAGTTGCAGCTTTTTTCAAATTCTTCTGTTTACTGTGTATGTTATGCATAATAATTTTGAAACAGTTACATTATTCTTAAAATGTATCACATGACTAGGAAAAGGGATGAATCTTGTTCCGGATTGTTATAGAAATTGCTACTAGCGTTGGTGAGAAAAAAATGGACAGTTGGGAAATTTGTAGAGCTCAGTGTATATTAAAACCTTTCTGGAGCAAGCTACAACCTTTAAAAAAGCTCCGCAAAAAGTTTTGTTATAGTTCCCTGACCAGCTGCATTCCTACTGCAATTTTTAACCTTGCCTATGGCATTGTATCTAAAAGATCTACTCTTTAAAGTTACAGACGGTAGCTGACCGTTTGTACGTACATATTCAACTATCGCTTCAGGTCACTTGAAAGCAAATACAACGCATATATTATTTTTATCTCAACATATTTTGTTTTCAGAAGTGGCTGCCAACCTTTTTTAAATTTTTTCCCCGAAATTTTTCCCCCGCTCCGAAACTTTTCAGCTTTAGGCTTTGGGGCATTTCTAGAACATATCTATATTTTAAAGTATCTTTATATTTATTAAGAGTGTTGATATTTTCAAATGATCTTTGCAGAGACAAAGCCCGAACCAGCAACAAAGCCGCCAGTTCCAACCGGCCCAGTGACCAAACCACCTGTGCCACCGGTGACAAAGTGCGTAGAGGTAATAGTCGAAAAAATCCAACGAGTCCCTTTCAGTGGCAATATTTGTGCAGATAGACACGGGTCATGTCGCAATTGGGCACGCCGTGGAGAGTGCAGACGCAATCCAGCATACATGCGTTCTAATTGTTGTCGTTCATGCGGCTCTGGAGGTAAATTTTTCTACTTGCCATTTGTTGTGGATCAATTCTTCAAGCCAACATAATTTCTTTTCTAGCTTGTGATTCTAGGTAAAGGCCCGCGAGCCTATAGCAAAGGATAGAGCGTTCCAGTGTTTACAAAATCTAAGGACAAAAGGATTCGTTGTAGGCAGTAGCGACGCTACGGGGGGAGAGTGGTGGGGAGATGTCCCCACCCTAGTTCTCGAAAGGATCAATTTTGTACTTCTTATATGAGAAAATGTCAGAGAAGGGGTAATATTTTTTTACAGCGTATTTGTTGTGATGTATTCCTGTGATTTTCAAACTGCCTTTACGTAACCAAATGCTAGTCATGGGCGTTCATTTCGGAAAAAATTGGCTTTCCCTGTTGGTAAAAGGGCGTGGTCTAGAAATGTTTGCTTTGTTGGAAATTAATTCCCTCAAAAACTTGCATGTCATTTATGTGAATTGTTCAAATGGTGATAAACGTTTTCATCTGCTCATTATTCATATGAAACTCAACCAGCAGAAATAACCGCTGTTGTGACCAAGCCATTAAAGTCTACCTGTTATATGCTAGTACTACCGGTAAAAGAATCTACATTTTCATTCTAGCTGTTTATCACCAATCCTTTCATTTACATTCTCATTTTAAATATGTATCACCAATCCTTTCAACCTTTGTCAAAATTAATTGGTGTTTGTTCAAGCGTTCAAATTACTAGGTTGGATGCTGTACCAAGGGTGAAAATGCCTTCGCACATTTTTCTATGCAATCATTTACACTGTAATTGAATATTTGTTTGCAACTTCGTTAGAAAGACGCCTTTACTGTTTTTACAAGAAGAAAATAATATCGAATGACTGTAAAACTTGTCCCTAAAGCGTAAAAAAGTCAAGCATGCTATGCACTGCTACTGATATTTGTTTATTTAGACAGTAGAAATCATTTCAGAGATTTGCTTGATTCTCGTGATAATCCAGAACATTGATAAACTTCTGGTATCAAAAAGACACCAGTGTTTCATATACACTACCCTCAAGTTTCATTTCATTATACATTGTTGATTCTTTGCAAAGAAGGTTTGATTAAATGTTTCAGTTTATATCTTTAAGACAAATGCCCGTTTCAAGACATGCTTGAGAGTGAAATGGGAACCAATGAATTTTCAACCAGGGAAAAAATGGTGTAAGCTTGCATTTATCTTCCAGGGTCATGTAGCGATAAGAATTCTTCGTGTGGATGGTGGGCTAGGCGTGGCGAATGCAGGCGAAACCCTGGCTACATGAACATTAATTGCAAGAAAAGCTGTGGGAAGTGTTCAACCAAGAAGGTTATAAAGAAGAAGGTTCGAAAATGCACGGTGGTTCCTACTGAAGGTCCTATTACACCTCCAATTCCGACAGACGAGCCAATTACACCACCAATCCCAACAGACGAGCCAATCACACCACCAATCCCATCAGAAATCCCGCCAGTTCCGACAGATGTGCCAGCAACTAAAATCCCACCATTGTCAACAGCTGCACCACCAGTTAACAAAACAGATAAACCAACCCCGCCAGTTACTTTACCTCCTGTTCCGTCAGGTAAATATACAGAAATAAAGTGAGAGCTTTACGTATGTTTTGAAATTGTCTATATGACAACTAATATCGTACACTAATAACATGAAACTAAAAATTCTTAAAACAGCTTGTCACAGTAAATTTCCACAAT